GATTAGAAAATCATACTTTATAGTGATCCCCCTGATATTTCCAGTACCCAGCTGGCACCATACATAGTGATTACAACATTATTAACTATAATCCACTGAGCTACACCAGCCAGGGCCTCCAATATTATTAACTATATTCCTTATGCTGTACTTTATGTCCCCGTGACTATTTTGTTACTACTGATTTGTACTCAATTCCTTCACCTCTCCACCCCCTCCACCCCCAGTTCCCCAATCCCGTTCCCCTCTGGCAACCATCAGTCTGTTTCTGTTTTGTTTATAGTGTTTAGATTCTGCACAGTATACATGAAATCTTATGGTACTTGTCTCTCTCATACTGACTTACTTCACTTAGCATACTGCCCTCTAAGTCCATCTATGCTGTCGCAGATGGTAAGATTTCATTCTTTTTTTGTGGCTGAATAATTCTATTTCATATGTGTGCACCACAGCTTTTTTATCCATTTATCTATTGATGGACACTTGGGTTGCATCCATATCCCAATTGTAAATAATGTAAGTGATTGGCTATTGTAAATAATGCTGCAGTTAACATAGGGACACATATATTCTTTCAAATTAGTGTTTTTGGATTTCTTCGGATATATACCCAGAAGTGGAGTCACTGGGTTATATACCTTTTTTCAGTGTTTGATAGATCATTCCATACTGCATCTTTCTTTTTTTCCTTTCCTTTTACTGGACAGCAGCTTAGAAGTACTTTCGTGTCTATACAGCTAATGTATTGGTATCCTTTAATTCAGCTGTGTGATATTTCATGGCATGTCTGTACCATCACTTATCCGGCTTCATTTAAGGGACCAGTGGATGTTCACAGAAATTCAGGTCTGATTTTTAAACCCACGCCAGTCCATTTGGGTGCAGAGGATCAGCACTCCTGGGCAGGGGGCCCAGGAGAAGTTGACCCTCCCTGTGTGTCCCCACAGAGGCAGCCACGCAGCGGTGGGGATCGGTGGGCGGCTTGAGGGACTGACGCAGGACCTCCAGCAACTGCAGGAGAATGAACGGCAGCTGGACCAACTGATCCACATTTGTACCACTCAACTTCGGCTGCTGTCTGAGGATGCCGACAGCCAACGATATCCTTGGCGGGTTGGGCCCTACCCAAGTGAGACTAGAGAGGCTACCCCGGGCCTGGGTTCGGGAGAGGGCCCTGGCTTTACATGCAAGTCCTGGCTCAGCATTTACTCACTGACGCTGAGGAAGTTACATAACCTCTCTGAGTCCCAGCTTTATCTGTAAAAGGAGGAGGAAAATACAATTCCAAAATTGCTAAATTAAAACAAGAAAAGCTAGTACCAGCAATAACAAATATTTAGTACAAAGATTCAGTACATGGTTGTGGCTTCAGAGTTAGAGATACAAGTTTTTATCATTCACAAAAATAGAAACTTTATTTTTCTTTTAAGTGAATACTCATGTTTTTAAGTTTTTTAAAAGATATTATTTATTTATTTTTAAGAGAAGAAGAGAAACATTGATGTGTGAGAGACATTGCCTGGTTGCTTCCTGCACGCCCCCAACCAGGGTCCTGGCCCACAGTTGGTGCTTGTGCCCTGACTGGGAATCAAACCAGCAACCTTCTGGTTCACAGGCCGATGCTCAATCCACTGAATCACAGCAGCCAGGGCTGTTTATAAATTTTGGACAACCACTAATTGACCCCAAGATCATGAGTCAGAATAAATTCTCACCACCAGGTCTTATTGCAGGCAGCCATTGTTACCTTGAGATTAGATGGACAGAATAGACTCATCGTACAGATGTGGAAATTGAGGTTTGGGGGCATGAGATTGGCTTGAGCACCAGCTGTGTGCTAGGTAAAGGATGGAGAGGATGGAATTAACTAAGCAGGTGTGGGCTCTGCCTTAGCTAAGTGGCCGGCTTCCTAGAGATCAAAGGTTACATGGCTCTTGACTCCACCAACCCTGGCCTATGTGACTTGCCAGGACCTTCGTAGCATTGCAGACCCTGCAGAGCAGATGGTCATGGTAATCAAGGCCCCTCCCGAGACCCAGCTTCAAGCCGTGGACTCCTCAGAGGTGAGGCGTGGGACCCTCAGCCCAACCAAGATGGGCAGGGAGGGAGGTGGTGGTCAGCAGAGCCTCAGTTTACCCTGCCTGCTGCCTCCACCCAGACCTTTCAGATCTCCCTTAAGAGCAAACAGGGCCCCATCGATGTTTTCCTGTGCCCTGAGGAGAGTGCCGGTGGGATCAGCCCTGGGAAGACCCCGTCCCAGGGAGCAGCTTCCGGGGAGGAGGACAGGACAGCTGATCCTGCCACCATAGTGCCACCATCATCATCTCTCCCTTCAACCCCTGGCACGGATCCTAGCCAGTCCCTGCTCGGCCTGGAGCAAGGTGGGTGAAGGGTGAGCGGGTGAAAGGTGGGTGGGTGGCATAACAGTCCCTCTACCCTCCCTGCTGGGGCATCCCCGGCCTGTGATGCTCCCCCATCTCCCCAGAACCTCTGCTTTCCCGGACTGGCGGCCTACGGGCCCCCATGGACGAGGACCACCTGTCCCCACTGGTAGCGGCCGACTCACTCCTGGAGCATGTGCGGGAGGACTTCTCCAACCTCCTCCCTGAAGAGTTCATCAGCCTGTCTCCCCCCCATGGGGCCCTCGACTACCACTTTGGCCTTGAGGAGGGCGAGGGCATCAAAGACCTCTTTGACTGTGATTTTGGGGACATCACCCCCCTGGATTTCTGATGGGGCTTACAGAGACTGGGGCCTCCTGAGGTGCCTGCCCTGTTTCTGCAGTCCTGGAGCCCCCTGCTCCTGGCCGTCCTCCTAGCCTGATTGGAAATGTTTAACTTATACCCTTTTCTCTTATCTCCAGAAGCTTCTAGCTCTGGGGTCTGGCTACTGCTAAGAGGCGGAGCAAGCCAGGAAGGGAAGGATTCTGTTTGTGGTGTGTATGTGCATGCACCCAGCACCCATCATGTGTATACACAGGGTGAGTGGTGTGTAAGCATGTGTGTGTGCATGAACCGGGGAATGAAGGTGAACACATCTGTGCGTGCACTGAAAACACGCCCCAGTGTGTCCACATGTGTGTGCATGAGTCCATGTGTGCGTGTGGTGGGGGCTCTAACTGCACTTTTGGTCTCCTTGCTCCAGGGGCCCCACAAGGCCCAGGGTGGCCACCTGCCCCCAGAATCCTGCATGCTGACCAGGCCAGGTGGTGAGGCCTTGGCTTGCTGTCTGCAGGACAGTGAGAGCACTTCTGTTGTCTTAAAGGTTTTTCTGATTGAAGCTTTAATGGAGCGTTATTTATTTATCAAGGCCTCTTTGGCAAGCCTGGGGCACCAGCAAAGGGGAGGAGGGATGTGAGGCTGGTGTCCTAATTTCCTATACCCCTGAGTGAGCAGGGGTCTCTGAATGGTTCTTTGTCCCACTCTGAAGGAGCTGAGGCCTGAGCGGTTTTATTTATTGGGGAAGTGAGGGAGGGAGACAGACTGACTGACTGACTGACAGCCATGGGTGGATCAAGGGGGTGGTCCCTCCCCAGGGGATCACTGCAGGGCTCCAGCTGCCCACCCGGATGGATGTGAGATGGGAGAGGTGAGTGGGGGACCTTCACTGACAGGGTGGGCAGGAGGGGTGGGTGGAAGACCTCCCCCACAAGCCCAGCCCACAGGGGCCCCTCCTGTGGCATTTGAAGTGCCCCCTCCACTCCACCTCTCGCTCTGCCCCACCCTCCAATCTGCACTTTGATTTGCCTTCTAACAGTTCTGTTCCCTCCTGCTTTGGTTTTAATAAATGTTTTGATGGTGTTTTGTCTGGGTTTTGGGACTGCACTGGGAGCAAGTCAAGGGGTGGAAAAGGTCAAGAGTGCTGGGGAAAACGCCCCTTCACACCTCACCTTCTCCCTGTCTGCTTAGTTTCCTATCTTTTGAGTCCCAAAGTGAGAAGAAAGAGGGTAGGCTTCACCAGTTTTATCCTAAGTTAAAAACTGATCTAATAAAGTAATATGGGAACTCACCTTTCCCCAGCCCCAAACAGGTACTCCACAATGTTCCTTCTATATGTTTCTGGGCATTTGTAAACACGCAACAAATAATCACCACTGGCCAGTTGTGTCAGTATCTTTCAGATTCCTCCCATCATAGAGCTTTCAGGGTCTGGAGGAGACTCACAAAATCAGGGAGGGCTTCCTGAAAGAAAGTGAGCTGAGAGCTGTAAATGGTTAACTGAGGGTGAAACAAACGAAGCTGAGGGTAGAGTGGGCAAAGGCCCTGGACCAGGGCACAATTTGAAGTGTGGGCCAGAGTGGAGAGAAGTTCAGGCAGGCTTTCCTCAGAGGCCAAGGACTCACTGGTGAACCTGGGAAGTAATGTCTTGCTTTATCTAGTGGAAGCTCCAACTGGCCACTGGGTGAAGGATGGGTGGAAGCAGAGGGTTGGGTAGACTGGGAGGTTTTCCACAGACCTGTTTAACAAACCCTCCAGTGGGCTTTGAGCCAGTCCTAGTTTTTGAGCCCTATTACCCCCATTTTGCAAAGAGGATACAGATGCTCAGGGGTGGTCACCTTAAACCAGGCGTCACAGTATTGCTCTGCAGTTTGCTGAACCTGCAATGGTGTGGGACCTAGCCTTGGGCCTACGCAGCCCCTCACCTGTTCCTGGTTGTGTAGTGCTCCCAAGCTGAGTCATTTTCTTGGCTCGTCCCTGGCAGGAAAGATTCCTTGCATAGTTCCCTAGCAGTGGCCACCCCTCTGGAAGCCTGTGGTGACAGAACCTTGAAGGGGGACATTGTTAGGTGTCTCCATTTTGCATCTCTTTCTAACCAGTTTGCTCCCTTTTGCCAGACTGGGAAACGGGCCCTGCAGAGGCGCTTGCGGAGGGCTCCCGGGTGGGTAGGTGGGGAGGAGTCTCGGCTGCTGTTGGCTGGGGGTGGAGCTCTAGGGGCGGGGCCTTGGTGTCTGCGCCGGCGTCAATAGGCGGGAGCCCCTCCCAACTTCTCCAGTTCCTGGCGGAGGCAGCGGCGGGGCAGTGGTAGCTAGATCCCGGATCTTCAGCCCAGCTGGACCGTAGTGGTGGTGGCGCCATGGCGTGCGCTGGGCTGCTCACCGTGTGCCTGATCCAGCAGCCCGCGCCTCAGCCCCCACGGCTCCCCACACCAGCCGCTGGTTCTGCGGGACACGCGCTGTTCCAGGATGTGAGTGTGGAGAGGGCAGGGTGCGTTGGCTCTCTGGCCCTAGGGGTTCACGGTGTCTGGTGGGCTTTCTCCAGGTCTTACCTCTCCCTGTGTCGCCGAGCTCTCTGTCTCTTATCTCTGCTGCCTTGTCTCTTGCTGTCTTTTCCCTGTCTCTACCAGTGTCACTCCCTCCAAGTCTCTTTGGGGCCCTCTCTCACTATGTTTCTCTGACTCTGCTGTGTCCATTCTCCCTTTTTACCCCACTGCTTCTGTGTCTCGTCTGTTCCTCATTCTTTCTCGCCTCCTTGCCTTTGGTTCAGTGTTACTGCCCTTGTGCCTCCTGCCCCCTGAATCCACCCGCTCTGTGTTTCTGGCGGGGTGGAGGTTATCAACGCTTGATCACAGGAGCAATTGCACTACTCCTCTATGGCAGCCCCTGACTGGGCTGATCCAGCCAGGGGGCCTGGAAGAGTAAGACCCAATGCTGACCGTACAGTCTCTTAAACCTGACCCAGAGGCCGTGGGGTCCTGCAGTTGGTCAAGGCTGCCCCCAGTCACCCTCTGTAGTCTGTACACTCTTGTGGTGGCTGGTGGCCTGCAGCCTCCATGGGCACCAGCGTGGAAGAGCCTGACCTGGCTCACTGCCCTGAGCCCCTTTCCCACCTTTCACCCCAGTGCTCAGTCTCGACCTGGCCCCCTGATACCTCACACTCCTAGAGGTTCCTGCCTGTGGGAAAGGCCATACTCCTGTCCCCTCCCCACTATCCCCCAGTGACTCAGCACCTTGACCACAGTCCTGGCTAGAAAGGGACCTGACCCTCCCATTTTCCAGATGGAAAAACTGCCCCTGGTGTCCTCATTCCTGGCTTAGCACCCCCAGTATCTCTATCTGCCCCAGCCAGGCCACACGGGGCTGCTGTCTGACCTCAAGCCAGTGGCGGACCTTCTCTGAGTCAGGCTTCTGGTTAGTAGTTTTAACCCTGAGCCTCAGGTACACTGAGAAAGCAGCCAGAGGGGAGTGGCATTTAGCACCTGGAGCTGATAGGGGCTCTGTCCAGGCTTTGGCATGCCCATCCTTGCCTGGCTGCTGCGGGGCTTTGGGTGACTTTGGTCTCTCAGAGAGGCAGGACCATGTCTTGACTCTTCTCTGTTTTTCTGCCTCTGTTGCTCTTTGCCTCTGCTCCCCCTTAAATACAGTTCATCCACCCATGCCTACCACCACCCTCACTGCTCCCTGCATGCACAGATGCGCACACAGAGTGAGTCAACCTCAGGGCAAGCCCCGGTCCTGGAAGGGTTAACTCCAGTCTGCTCTCCCACGTCCTAGGCCGAAAACCTAGGCACCCACATAGGAAGGACAGGCTCACAAGGATGGGCAGAGTTTTGGATGGACCATGGCCACACCTCAGAGTTGAGGGTTCAGGTCTGGGAGAGTTGCCCAGGATTCTTAGGCCACATTTTGGCCCATCTCCCTACCTTCTTCAAGCTGGGACTGTGCCAAGGGCTGATGCATCAGACAGAAATCAGGATAGACTCAGTGTGGGAGATGGGGTGCAGGGAGCTGGCCTAGAGTACCCCCCAGAGGCCCGGCCCTGCAGGAGAGGTGAGCAAGCAGTTGGACCTGCTGTGTGCTCTTCCTCTGCTCCCCTCATTGGAAAGCCCCTGCAGGGCTGAGCTGGGCAGGAGGAAAGGCTAGCCAGCTGCAGCCCTGTTGAGTTGGGAGGGGCCTCTTACCTCCCAGACCCCACTCAGTGCCCATCCATGCCCCTTCGTCTTCTAGGTTTTTCGAAGAGCAGACAAGAATGGTGAGTGTGGCTTCCCCTCCTCAGTCCCACAGTGGGGGGAAGGGAGGTTGGGGATGCCATGGAGGCTGGGTGGGGGTTTGGGGTACAGTCTAGAATGAAGAAAAATCATGGGGGATTCAAGTCAAGAGAATCAGTCAAGGCATCCTCCCCAGAGGAAGTGCTGTTTTGAGCCAGGTTTGGCAGGATGGAGTGGAGGGAATGTGGTTTAGCCAGAGGCTGAAAGTAGAGGCTTGCTTTCATGCACTGCCCTGGCACCGTGGTGGGTACCTCCCTGTGTATGACCTCGTGCTCTTCACCCCATTTCACAGACGGAGGAGTAGGGACCAAGAGAGGTGAAGTTGGTTGCCTGAGGTAACACAGCCTATAAGTGGTGGACCTTGAACCCAGGTCTGCGTGATTCTTGGTCCCAGGCTTCCTGTGTGAGAGGCTGGGAAGTGTGGGCTAGTAGAGATGAGGCCCTGTGGAGGGTTCTACTCTCAGATTTTTAGAGGCTTCAGTAACTTTCCATATGATCAACCACCTGGACCCAGGGAGGGCCTGGGCATGAGAAAGCTGGTTCCAGGGAGTGAGCTCTGTCTGCCCTGGGTTCTGGGCAGTCTCAGACCCTGGTCTGGGAAAACCCTGAAAGCAGGGCACCCCGTAAGCAAGCAGGTTGCTGCCCATAGATGACCCAGAACAGCCTTGTGTACCCTGACCAGCCAGGTGAGAGTCTGAGCTGAGGCCTTCTGTCTGGGGTCTTCAGACCCTCCCGTGTTTCAGCCTCTTTGAGACTGGATTGTGTCCCCACCGTCTGGGTCTTCTCCTTGGGTCTCTTCAAATTGGTGGAGACCATTGTCCCAGCCCATTGACCAAGATGCAGAGTCTCATTTGGATCAGAGCTTTCTGTCTGATCCCCCTCCTTGGAGACCCTACAGGCCAGACCCCCAACATCCTTAGCCACCCCGCTGAAGAGCTCTCAGCCTCTGCCACAGGCCCCATGACAAGAAGGTCATTCCCTCCAGGGCCAGCCTGCTGCTGCTTCTCTTTCTTTTTTTCATTATGTTTTAGAGAGAGGAAGGAGAGGGAGAGAAACATCAATTTGTTGCTTCTCACACAGGCCCCAACCGGGGACCAAACCCACAACCCAGGCATGCGCCCTGACTGGGAATCGAACTGGTGACCTTTCGCTTTGCAGGATGGTGCCCAACCAACTGAGTCACACCGGTCAGAGCAGCCTGCTGCTTCTTACAGAGGCCCCAGCCCTTAGGAAGGTCTCATCAGCCTCCCTGTGGCTTCTTAGGAAAGGGCCTGTGTCCACAGCACAAAGGTTCCCTCTGCCCTGGGCCCAGGCTGGCCAGCATGTGGGGCAGAGTCTTAGCCCCCAAGGTCTCCAAGAGATGTCTAGACCTTGCCATGATCTGGCTGTGTCCCAGGCTGTTGTTCATTTGTTTCCTCATATGGCAAATATTTTGCCCCTACCCAATTCCATGTGTGTGGTACCCTGTCCCTTGGGTGCAGGCAAAGTGGTCCCTGTTGTCTTAAGTGGGCATCTCTGGAGGCTCCAGCCCTTTTGTCCCCAACAGCCAGCTCCCCCACCAAGCTCGGAATCCCATTCTACCTGGCCGGGCGGGTGTGAAAGGATGCTGTGGAGCCTTTGGGGGACCTGGACCTGATGGGCGGGGTGCGGCCAGAGGTCAGGGACATTGACTCTGCTTCCTGCCCACCCGTCAGATGATGGTAAGCTCTCATTTGAGGAATTCCAGAATTACTTTGCCGATGGGGTCCTCAGCCCCGGGGAGCTGCGAGAGCTATTCAGCGGCATCGATGGGCATTCTACCGAGTGAGTACAAGAGGGAGAAGGAAGAGCCATGGAAAGATGTAAGGCCCGGTTGTCTGTACCCCACTGGGCCCCCTGCTGCTTTGGTCCCTCATGGAGGACAGGACGAGGGGGGAGGTAGGGAGAGGGGTGCCAGGGCCTGGTGCCAAGTTTTTCCCGCCCACTCACCGCCTCCCTGGCTCCAGCCTTGCCCATCACACTGCTTCCAACTGGGACCCTAAAATAGCCAGGCCTGAGTCACCACCCATGGTTCAGCCCACACACCCCCCCAGAACCGATTCCCACAGGGATCAGTGGATGCCTGGGGACAGCTGGGCCCTGCCTGCTTCCACCCATGGATGCAGGTGCGTGAACACGCACACACCTCCCCACGTGCGCTCCCACATCTACAGGCCTTAGCATGGGTTTGCACGCTTTCCTCCCCATGCTTCCTCACGGGGGCACAGCGCGTACACAGCTGTCCCTCCCTCTCTCTTCCCTTCCTCCCTCATCTCCTTAGAATAAATTTGAGATTCTGGGTCAACATTCAAGGCTCCCATGCCCCCAACCCCCCATCCTGAGGCTTGGGCTGGACCCTTTGAACCTCCCCCCGACCCCACAAGATAGTCCAGTCAAGTTCCTTGTTCTTCAGCACCTGGCATAGGCAGCCACTCCTCCAGGAAGCCCTCCCTGACCTACCAAGTAATGCCCCATGCCTTCTCTGTACTTTCCAAGCCCTGGCTTTCCCTTCCCAGCTCTGACCACTCCTCTCTGGCCTGTGTCCACATCTGTTTCTCTTGGCCTGAAATTTCCTTGGAGGCCAAGAGTTTTTGCCCTCAGAGAGCATTTAATGGGGCAGTAGTATCCTTGCCCCGCCCCTCCCCCACCCCACAATGTCTGCCCACTGAGCAACTTAACCTGGAGGAGAAGCAGGAGTTGCCACCTTGTCAGACTGAGCTGGGGGGGAAGGGGAGAGGAACATTGGCTTTAAACTGCCAGTTCACCAGACTCAAATGTGAGACACTGAAGGGCACCTTCTCTTTTCCCTGCAGCAATTTGGAAACGGAGAAACTGTGTGGTGAGTAGGCCCACTGGAGCTCTTGTCTCCTGGGACTTCTGGGCAGGTGCATGTGGTGAGGGTTTGTCACTGGTCTCCTGACAAAGTAGGACGGGCTGGGGTCACAGTGTGAGGCCTGGTTGGCTGCAGATGAGTTCTGGGTTGGGTAGATGGGGAGGAGGACAGAACCTTGGCACACCCCCTCTGCCCACAGACTACTTCTCAGAACACCTGGGCGTCTACCGGCCCGTGCTGGCTGCGCTGGAGTCCCTGAACCGTGCAGTGCTCACCGCCATGGACACCACCAAGCTGGTGAGTGAAGGAGCTGATGGGATGGGTGGAGGGCCCAAGATCAGCACGGGGGTGTCTGCTGTGCTGGGCGAGCCTCCACTGTCTTAGGGCTATAGACCTAGAGGGGTGGGTTCAAATCCTGGCTCTCCCATTTTCTGTTTGTGCACTTTTTCCTCTCTGGGCCTCAGTTCCCTCATCTGTAAACTGGGGGTGAAAATAGAGCCTGCCTCCATACACTGTGACAATTAAATGAGAATGAAGGCAGGGATTTTGTCTGTCTTGTTCTCTCTCTACAACACCCAGAACTATGCCTAGCACACAGTAGGTGCTTAATACCTGGAGATGTTGCTTCTACTGTTTTTATTATTGGCCATAACTAACTATTATGGGATATCAAGCCTAGGACCAGGTAGGGATGGTCTGGGGTGTGGTGTGCTTGCGAGTGTGTCCACAGGCCCACATGGGTGTGCAGAGCCTAGCGGGGGCAGCACCTGGCCCAAGGATGTTCGGGAATAGGCAGGTATGTGTGCACCTGCGTTTGCGTGCACATGGGGACGTGTGTGCACAGGTGTACACAGTGCTCACAGCCATGGCTTCACGCCTTTGTATGGTGACTTCAAAACACCCACAAGCTGCCCTTGCCTTTATGTGTTCCTTTTAAGAGATGTCTCCACTTCCCTTTGGCCCACAGCTCTTAATAAGGGGGCAAAGAGGGAGCAGTGAGCAAGCCTGGGATTTTTCATAGAAGGGGAAACTGACACCCTCAGCCAGTGGATGATCAGCTGAGGACAGGGCTGCCCCTCTGTTTGCTTTCACGTGGGATATAGTAGCTTTTCAAAGGGTCACTCCTTGGGGTCTGGTATGGAATGGGAATCCGAATGGCACAGTATGAGGAGTTGGCATGTTGCAGCAACTTCTGTATCTGTGACCTATACACAAGTATGGTCATCACCTTCCTTATTGCCATGGAAACAGGGCCCTGGGCGTGCATAGCTGGAGAGGCATTCTCTGAGCCGGCACTGGTTAGGGGGAATTCAAACTGCAGGTCACAGGAGGGCCTCAGACCACCTCTGTCTGGCCCAGAAAGGGATAGGGGGTGACCCATCACCACATAATGACTCTGCCGACTCTAGTCATCTGAGACTTTTATCTGGCACTCTATGCCTCTGACAGAGCTTCAGTGCAGCCCACTGCAGAGGAGACCTCTGCAGCCCCCTGGCAGCACCAGCTCTTCCTGTCCAGTGTGACTCAGTCGAAGACCTTATGCACCAGCCTGGAGCCACACTCCTGGTACATGGCCCGGGTCATCCAGTGGCGTTGGAAGTTGTGAAATGAAGCCACCATGGAGCCACCTGTCCACACTGCTGTGCCGCGTCCAGGCTTGGCCACTAGGTGTGGCTGCAGTGCCCCACAGCCATTCTGCCGGCACTGGGCTTCCAGCTCCCTTTCCAGGCGCTCAGTGAAACCAGGGAAAAGTGTGGAGCCACCAGCCAGCACCACAGTGTCAGCCAGCCTCCTCCGCAGTGTTCCAGGCACGCTCTGCAGTGCCCAGAAGGCCAGTGTGGGCAGTCCTGGCTCAGTGTGGCCTAGCAGACCAGGCTGAAAGATGGGTTCAGGGCAGCGGAAGCGCTCGCTGCTGAGGCAGACAGAGCAGCCGTTGCCTAAGCAGAAGCTGGTTGGATGGTGGCGGGCAGGGTTATGGAGGTCACCCTCAAAGTCCAGCGACACGTAGCAGCAGCGCTTCTTGAGCTGTGTGATGGCCTTTCGGGGTACGGTCCGCAGCAGTAGATCCGGACACGCTGCCACCAGCAGATCCCGCAGGTAGCGCGACAGGGTGGTGCCTGCTACCTCCAGCCGGAAGGTGGCCTTGTGCCATGAGTGGCCCGCATAGATGGGTGTGGCGTGGCACACACCCGCGCCTGCCTCCACGGCCAGCCCACTGAACGCACCAGTGGAGCAGAGAGCCAAGAACCCAGTGCTCGCCATGTGGCATGCGGGCACTGCCAGAGCCTCGAACAGCAGCTCGGCCACCCTCTCGCGGTTTGAGGGCGGTGCAGTTGGCGAATCGCTCACCAGCACCGGCCACTGCTCTGGGCACACCCGCAAACCGCCTACCAGCAGGCGCTCCCAGAGCCCTTCCAGCGCCTCCCAGTCCACCACCACGCCGTGCTTGATGGGGTGCGCCCGAGCCACACCGCCCGCCAGCTCACAGCCTGGCGCTCCGGGCAGCACGGGCCGGTCCCAGCTGGGCACTAGGCTGGAGCTCTTCAGCACCAGACGCGGCTGGTTCTCTCCTGCGAAGCCCGCCTTGGTGAAGCCCGAGCCCTGGTCCACCACCACGGCGATGTGGCCCTGCGAGAGTGGCCGGTGGACCCGGCGGCTCCTGGACGCAGATACCGACGCCACCTTCCGGGCTCAGTTCCGCCCTCAGAGGCTCGGTTCTGTCCCCACAGGCCTAGAGGAAGGCCCGCTTTTCAGCTCTTGGCTCTGCCTCTTGGGCCTAGAACCCTACCTTGCTGGACCAGATCAGTGCTCTCTCGATTCTTGGCTCCGCCCTCTGGTCCTGAGGTTCGCTTTCTCTGGCCGGAGTGGACGTCTCCTCGGCTTTGGCCCCGCCCTTGGGCCTGCGGCCCCACCTCTGGTTCTAGTGTCAGTTTCCTCTCCCGCTGGGCTCCCGCGGTTACTTGCCCTCTCCGTCCACCTCAGGCCCAACCTTGCACTAGGCCCCGCCCTCTGAGGCCTGACTGGCCTCTGCTCTGCGGCTCCGCTCCCTCAGCCCTTGCAGAGGTGGGTGATGAGAGGGCCGGGCCAAACCCTTTCAGATACTGAGAAGCCGTCAGGAGCAGCTTTGAGAATGAAGGGGCCTTGTGGCAATGACATCCGGACATATGTGGCCCCTTTGGGGACCCAGAAGTCCAGACTAGTCCTTGAGCCCAAACAGCGTCTTGGACCTCTCACCTAAGCTTGCCGGAAGTAGTTCCTGGTTGTGGAGAAGGGAGGGGGTCGTCAGAGAGAGAGGGAAAAGAACTTGGATCTAATTGTGACCTCAGTCCTCAGCACCTGCTGTGCTTCCGCAGCCCTCTCCTCCAGTGGAAATGCCCTGGGCCCACCCTCTTTCCTGGGACAGGGGTCTGGTGCAGCTTCCCGGCACAACCAATGTGATTCCTTCCCCAGACTTCGGATTATCTGATGTGCTCTGGCCAAATGTGGGGCTCCTCCTCTCTCAGTGCTGAAGAGAAAGCTCCTAATCACAGATCTACAGCCACTCTGAGTATCTGTGTGCTAATCTCTGAGGGACCCAGGCTGCCCACAGAGATACTCGTAACTTCAGGGGCTTCCATCTATGGACCCACCTGTGGGCCTGACTTTGTGACTCAGATCTGAAGCTGACTCACTGTGCAAACAAGTGCTAGTCTCTGAGCTCAGTTTCTCCCCCCAAAAGTAGTAATACGCACACATACACACACAGAGAAAAGAGGCCACTTTTGGTCTCTACAGAGTCTCATTATTCTCTTTAGGACCATTTGGCTGCAAGTTGAAGCCCCACTCACATGAATGTGAGTTAAAATAGGGACTTTGTTACAAGGACCTTGTATGCATCATGAATACTGAAGGCAAAGGTGAAATCAGGCTCCAGGAACAGACTGGGAGCAGGGCTGTGGGGAATCTAGGATGTGCAGTGACTCTGCACTGTTTTCATTCTTCTGAAGACTGGCTTCAGCCTGTGTGTGTTCATGTGGCTCCTGATCTATACCGTCCCAGGGAAGGGGCTGCTACTGGCTTGAGCCAGTGGCTTGTGGCCAGGACAGGTGGCCACACTGAAGAACAGAGTTACCCTGAGTATAATCATGTGGATAGTAGGGAAGTGTCAGTCCTTACAAGCATTAGGGGAGGTGCTATGGGTCATGCAACCTCCAATACGACATAGGCACTGTGGAGGGGACATTGATGGCGACAAAAGTGCATCTTTAGCAGAAGCTGGACTTGTGGCTTTAGTGAGCTGAGACCACCTGCTGCATCTGCCCCCAAAAGGGGCATCTAAGATTGGTCACCAGTGGAAAGCAGGCTGCAGATTGGGAAGGGCTGCGGAGGCTCCAGGTTCTGGAACTGGGTTTGGGACCCAGGACAGCGAAGAGAAGCTGCTGTGCACAGGAAATGTGCTGGGCCTCTCATGGGCGAGTTTGGGAGGGGAGCCTCACCCTGGAGACCCCGAGTGGCAGTGTGGCCAGAGCAAGGGTGAGGGTAGAAGTCACTGGGAAGACCTGGGGAAGAAGACACATTGGGGGCTGGGACTGTCCATTTCAGTAACAGGTTTGGCCGTTTCCCTGTGGGCAATGGAGAACCAGTGAGAAAGCATAAGCAGAGTGAGCTGTCCTATAGAGAGAGGAGTGGTTCTGAAGAAGCTTTTGGCTGCAATGTGGAGAAGGGGATGGGGCAGGGTAGGCTGGGAGACGAGTGACTGAGTTGCCTTGTGGGTTCCCAGGCAGAGTGGGATAGCAGTGAGAGGTCAAGAGGTCCAGGAACCCCAGTTCCTCTTGGGAGCTTTCACAAGCGGAATGAGTCTCAGGCCTCACTCCTGCTGACAGTAAGGAGCCTCATAGTTCCCCAAGGGGGTTGCTTGCCTGGGACCCTCCTTCTGCTTGAGGACGGTATGTGCATGCTGGAGACTCTTGGAGATGCCGTGCTCCTGCTGAAGCAGGCCTCTCCACCCATTATGGGCAAGACTGAGTTCACCCAAGCTCACCTACCTTGGGCCTATAGATCTGGCAAGGCATGACCTGGGCCTGGAGTTGTGGGGGTAAGAGGAAACAGCCTCCCTTCTGCACTGTGGTAGGGTGTCCTTCTCTCCAGGGGCAGGGTTCTGACCGTTGGGTCACAGGAAGGAGAAATCAATTGGCTCCAGACCATGGCCGTTGCTCAGTCCGCCTGTCCATCCCTGTCTCGCTCTCACACCCAGACACCTCAGACAAAGCTTGCAGGAGCCAGGGTTGCTATGTACTCTTTATTGGGCCGGGGCGGGCATTTGGGGGTCGGGGAATTGGGGGTCCAGGCCGGATGCTCAGAGCCAAGTACGAGGGCAGGTAGAGTCTGCCTCTTTCTTGGCCACCAGGCACCGCCAGCCCAGGTCGGCCTTGGCCGTGCTCTCTGCACTGGCCCCGCCCCCAGTCCCGCCCGCTGCGCAGCGCCCCGCCTCCTGCAGCCCCAAGTACAATAACAGCAGCCGGACTAGGATCTTTGTTTCGTGCGCGCGTGCACTCGGGCAACTCAGCGCCGTCGCCTGCTCCTGTCATTATGGGTGGCGCCGCTCCAGAGCCCACCTGAGTGTCCACCGCATTTTCGCTCTGCTGCTTGGGCCCCGCACCTGGGCCCGCTGCCACCTCAGCTAGCTGCTGCCGCTTGGGGGAAAGGGGTGGGGGGCAGTAAGCAGCAGGATCTTGGTGTGGTGTTGGGCAGTGATGCGAGGGAAAAGAACGCGCCCTGCCCTCTTCCTGGGGTCCTATCTCCTAAGACTCTGCCCCCTACATTTCCGTAACTCCGCCATCCTTACATGCCCGGTAGGGGAATCCCCACCCTGCCCCATCAACAGGGACCCCTGTCTCTCCTGGAAACCCTCACCCGCCCAGGCTAACCCAAGACCGCTCTGTCCACGGTTATGGGATCCCTGCCTGCCCTCCCAGCCGTGATGCTGGGACCCTCACTCGGAACGTCTTCCCACTTGAAGAGGGGAAAAGTAGCATGTTTTGAGAATGGGGGCTGGAGAGGGGGCGGGCGTAAGGAAGCTCCTGGTGCTCATAGCCCAGTGGTATCAACCATGCTGGGACCTCCACCTACTCATCCAGGTTGTGAGAATCTTCTCCTGCCCGCCCTTCTGACTCCAAGTCTCACCCACCTCCTGGTTTCTGGAATCCCTACCTTCCTTTTGCACTTTTAGGACTCCATCCACACCCACGTGGGTTTCCGGGACCCTCATCCTCAGGAGGGATTCTCTAACCCCGTGGTCCATGTCCCTAGGATTGAGGCCCATAAGACCTCGACTCTCAGCATCCCCTCCTGCCCACCTGTCTCTGTTCCCCAACCCCACCTGCCCCCTCACCCCCTGGCACTTAGGCCTGGCTTCTGTGCAGGTGGCTGAAGGACTGCTGTTCCCCGTGGGTCTTGTTCATATCTAGTGGCCTCTCCTCGCCAACCTGCTTGGCTGCTTTGGTCCTCTTGTGGGAACTGCAGTTTCCCATGGCAGGGCTGGTCAACACGGGTCCACAGCCCATGCTGCTCTGCCCTGCCCTCTGGCCAGGGGTCCCCTGCTCTAGCAGTGTCCAGAAAGGCCACATTGTGACTTCATCAGTCGACCTCGGCAGCTCCAGGCACTGAGGTTCTCCCAGAACCCACAGGGGACTCTCGGCTCTATTCACTCTGTGACTTCTGGCCTTGGTTTCTCAGCTATAAAAGGCCTAGTGCTCATAAATGAGGTGATGTTTCATTATTGGGCCGGGTGACGGTGCTTAATGGTGAGGGCAGAGGAATTTCTGCGGCCTGAGTTTCAATTTTGGCTCTGTCACTAACTAGTTGCATGACCTTGGCCAAGGTAATCAGCTGCTCTGGGCCTCCCAGTCTTCTCATCTGCAAAATGGGGCCAATTGGTTGCTATAAGGATTAAATGAAATTCTGCTTGAAACAGGGCCTGGCACAGAGTGGGTGCTTGTATCAGCGGGGTTCTTTGGTTGCAAGCAACGGAAGCTGACTGATCACTTTTGTTTAAGATTTTATTTATTTATGTTTAGAGAGAGGGGAATGGAGGGAGGAAGAGAGGAAGAGAAACATCGATTGGTTGCCTCTCACATTCCCCCGGCTGGGAACCTGGCCCATAACCCAGGCATGTGCCCTGACTGGGAATCGAACCAGTGACGATTCACAGTCTAGCGCTCAATCCACTGAGCCATACTATCAGGGCTGACCACTCATTTTAAGCGCCCAAAAGGGAATTTTGTGGAAAGATTTTAGAGAGCTCCGAGTGGCTAAGAAGACTGGGGCAGGACAGAAGTCTAGACAGAGGACAGAAACCACTAGCCTGTTTGAGAATGAGAGGACCCATCCTCCTCTCTTGCTTCCCTGGCTTAAACCCTCTCACAAGCCTGCCCAGCAGGCTCCATGTGATGGCTGAGCTGAGGCAGGTCATGGGCAGGAGACAAGCCCCTGCTGGATGGTGTCTCTGGGGCCCCTTCTAGATAGAGGGCAGGCCCTTGGACCGCAGCTCCTGGGGGCCTGGCGCATAGTCTGCCTCTGTCTCTCTGCCCTTGGGAGGGGATAGGAGAGGCTGGTTACGTGGGCTGGCGTGTGTGCCTTATGACAGTAACTTGGCCGTCTCCTGTCTGCAGCTCCTAGTAAAAGGTGCTCAGTAAATGTTTGTTACACTGGCGAGTGAATGAATGAATGCAGGCATACGCAGACTGTGTATTTGTGGTCAGCTGGTGAGTAAGGGGCACATCGCACCATCATTTTGCCTCATATGTCAAAATAGGTCTTTGGCTGTCCTGTGACCTGCCCCACCCCCACCCCCCACCAGCCTAACTGTGCAGGGGCCTCACTGGCTGAAGTTGGAGGCCCCTGTGTGGATGTGGCCTTGGGGCTAGAGAAGGACAGATGGATGCCTCCCTCCAGGGGTTGGCCTCACATTCCCAGGAGGGAGGCAGGCCCTGCTTCCACCCAGCCCCTGTGCCCCCCTGCCTATTCCAGGTCCACAGGCCACTGTCACTCCGATGGGGAGCGGGTCGAGGAGTGGGACAGTGGCTCCCCACTCAGCAAAATGTACTCGGGGCCTAGGTGTGCTGACTGTGCCCCCTCTGCCCCCAGGAGTACGAGCAGGCCTCCAAGGTGGACCAGTTTGTGACACGCTTCCTACTGCGGGAGACGGTGAGCCAGCTGCAGGCCCTGCAGAGCTCTCTGGAGGGGGCGTCAGACACCCTGGAGGCCCAGGCCCAGGCCCAGGCCCCTGGGCCATGGTACGTGAGGAGCCCTGCTGCCGGCGGGCCATTCGAGAACACCCATTAGCTCCACATCCCCGGCCCCTCGGCTTCGACTGCATTCCGCATTCCAGAGTTTCAGTGGCCTGGAGCCCCAGCTTTTGTTTTTTGTTGTTTTTTTTTTTTTTTTTTAAAGATTTTATTTATTTATTTTTAGAGAGGGAAGGGAAGGGGATAGAGAGAGAGAGAGAGAAACATCAATGTGTGGTTGCTGGGGGTTATGGCCTGCAACCCAGGCATGTACCCTGGCTGGGAATCGAACCTGGGACACTTTGGTTCCCAGCCCGCGCTCAATCCACTGAGCTACACCAGCCAGGGCTGTTGTTTTTTTTTTTTAAGAGTTTACTTATTTCAAAAGAGAGTAGAAGGGAGGGAGAAAGAGAAACATTGGTCAGTTGCCTCTCACCCTCCCCAACCTGGGCCCTGACCTGCAACCCAGGCATGTGGCTTGACCAGGAATCGAACTGGTGACCCTTTGGTTTGCGGGATGACACCCAGCCGCGGCAGCCAGGGCATGGAGCCCAAATTCTTGTTCTGGGGCAGGGAGGCCAAGAATGTGTGAGAGGATGGCTGGCATGTCCCTGGAAGCCTCTTCCCCCACCCCGGCCTCGTGCTGTTTTGAGGCCCCCCGAGAGCCTGCCGGCTGTGGCCTGAGCCTCCACCTCCCACAGGTCGGACGAAGAGAGAGTGGCGGTGCAGAGCCGGCCCCGTGGCAGCCGGCGGGCAGGGCGCAGGGGCTTGCGTAGCATCGGTCGGTCGCCCACCTGGTCTCCTGGCTGCTCTGACACAGGTGTGCCTGCGGTGGGCGGGGAGGGCTGGCCGAGGAGGGTCCGGAGCAGTGCCCCTAGTGCCTGCTCCTTCACTGCCCTTCGGCTCATCACGAGCGACCTCCCAGCCTAACTGCCCCCACGGGCCCCTACCCCCAGGGCGGAGTTCGGAGGCTGAGATGCAGTGGCGGCTCCAGGTCAACCGTCTCCAGGAGCTCATTGACCAGCTCGAGTGCAAGGTGAGCGTCCAAGTGGCCCGTGGGGGTGGACCTTCCTGGAATCTGTCCAAGATGGCCACGTGCCGGGGGCCTGGCCCTCACTCTCTGTCCCTCACAGTCCCCGAGGCTGGAACCCCTACGTGAAGAGGAGCTTACCAAGGGGCTTGACTCGGTGAGCCTGGGAAAGGGACGGATAGCCGGGTGTCAGGGCTTGGCTGTCATGAAGTGGGGGCGCTCACGGGGCCAGCCACCGACCTGGCCTCCGCCTGCACACGTTTCCTTTCCCAGCGGGGCCCAGCGCTCTCCCCCAGGCCTGGCAGGCAGGCAGGCGCTGGCTGTGGTCCCTGCTCTGTGACCCCATGGAAATTACTGCCACTCTCTGGGCACTAGTTTCCTTTAGCTGCATTTCTGAAAGCTGGGTCTGGGCAGTGTGGGCGAAGGCAGGAGGGGCAGTCAGAAGCGGTGGCCTACTGCAAGAGAGGGGGACAGTGGCTGGATCAAGGCAGTGACCTTGGCGATGGGGAGAGGGGGATGGAGTCAGGGATGTCGGGGGCCAGGTTGGGGCAGGTGGCGGGGGGGGGGGGGGGGGCGTTCCTGCAGGCTGCGGCCAGTCCCTCACTCGTGTCTTGCCCCGCCCGCTGAGCTAACGGGGCCGCCTCCCTCGCCAGCACATCCTCGTGGCCCAGAGGCAGGTGCAGGTGGCGGAGGAAGCCCTGCAGGACTTCCACCGCGCCCTCAGCTGCTACGTGGACTTCACCGAGGCCCAGAGCCATTGCCTGCAGTGAGTCCCTAGCCACCTGGTGGGCCGGCCAAGGTCAGGGGGTGAGCAGGGAGGAACTTGGGGGCTAGGCGTCTGGGGCCAGGGCTCCCCTTAGAAACCCCGGTCTGGGGGGCAGGGGTGGTGGCAGCCCGGCCTCGCCCAGCCTGGCCGTCTCTTTGGCTCTACAGTATTTCCGCCCAGAAGATGCTGGACAGTGCCTCCTTCACGCTGTACGAGTTCTGGCAGGATGAGGCCTCCTGGAGAAGGTAGGGACGGTGGCCGAACAGCTCTTGTGCATAGAGTGTGTGCCCTGGAGTGAGTCAGGCCTGGGTTCAAATCCTCTTCTCCTAGTCATCGGCTGTGTGACGTCAGGAGAGTTACTTCACCCCTCTGAGCCCTGGTGGCCTCCTTTCCAAAATGGGAGTGATAACAGTCCCATCCTCCTCTGAGCTAAATGAGATGATGTGTAAAGAACTGAACAGAGAGCCAGGTACACAGTGGGCGCTCAGTGAATATACACTCTCACCACCATGTCATATCCTATGCCAAGTACTAGCGTGTTACTGCATGTAACCCTCACAGTATCCCAGTACAGTAGACGCTGTTGTCCCATTTCACAGAGGAGAAAACAGGCTCAGAGACAATGTGAGGAAGAACTGGGGTCTGAATCCAGGCAGCAGGACTGGGGAGGGAGGGGGGCGCTCCTAACCAGGTGGCTCTGATCGTCGGAGGACCAGCCCAAGCCTGCTCCGTGGCTCTCCGCAGGCACCAGCAGTCCGCCTGCAGCAAGGCCTTCCAGCGCATCCTCATCGACCACCTGCGGGCCCCGGACACCCTGACCACTGTGTTCTTCCCAGGTGCGCTGAAGCCCCGGCCCTCTCCACAGCCCTGGGACCTGAGGAGGGTCAGTGGGTCCCTGGTGGCCTCTGACCCCCAACCTCTGACCTCCAGCCTCCTGGTGGATTATGAATAATAACTGAGCCGGACCTGCATTAGCCAATGACCCTGAGGCCCTTCCTGCCTCCTTCAGGAGCTTCTGGACCGGTCAATTCCACACCGAGACCAAGGACGCTGCTGCTCCTGACCTGGGCCTGGCTCTCACAGGCCTCCCAGACCCGCCGGTGGAGAGTCTCTCAGCCCAGGGATCGGGGACCGGGCTGCCTGCTTTCTGTTTCTTGATCAGTGTATTTTATTTGTAGCTTTGGTCTCTGATGCATTCTGGCTTCTGCCTGGCTAGGAGGCCTGGATTCTGGCTCCCTCTGCCTGCCTTGCTGTGCGACCTGACCCGGGACAGCTCCCTTCCTGCTCTGGATGGGCCTCGGGCTGTCTGGCTGCCTCGTGCACGCCCTGCTTTCTTCCTGCTGTCTTGGGGCCAAGCTTCTGCCTTTCAACCAGCAGCAGAACCAGGACTGATGCTCAGGGACCCCCAACCCTACCCTGAACCTCAACCCCTCTGGGTGGGCTGGATCTATCTGCAGTGTGGGGTGAGGACCTGGGTGTCCCCATCACCTTCCTGGGCTGGCAGGCTTCTGACCCTCCCAGCACCCTCCACGGCACCAGAGACAACCAAAAGATCCTGGGTTGGTTGCATGTCATTTGCATATCATTTGCATGTTCATGCCCACCCATACTCAGCACACAATGGGAAGCCCCAGGGTGACCTTGCCAAGTAGCGATAATTTGGGTCGAGTCACCTGCTGTCCCCAGATACCTCTGAACCCAGCCCACGCCCCCCGCAGGGAGACAATAAAAGCAGTGGTTACCTCTGGGGGTCTCGTCCCGTCTCTCCCTTGGCGAGCAGGCCAGGTGGTGGGGCTGGTTTTCCTCTCAGACCACAGCTCAGGGCAGGAAGCCTTTCTTCAGAAATCAGTCCTTCACCTCAAGCCCCCCTGCCTGCAGGTGGGGGGAACTTCCTCACCACTGACCCCGTTTTTCTCAGTTCAGGGCCCTCTCACCCCCACAAGCCCGGGTCCTGGGAGTGCATGTGGTCTGTGCTTTCAGCGCCCCCAGCTGTTGACTGGGCGTTCTAGCTTCACCCCAAACTTGCCGGAAGGGTGTGCAGTGCAGTTGGGCACTGAGCCCAGAGCCTTCTCAGGGTCCTGGGGGGGCGTGGTGGGGTTCCATGACACCTGTCTCCAGAGAGAGCCCCCCGCTCTGCCCCTCCACACCCCCTGCCAGGCCACCCCTGCCCCTGGTGTAGAGCAGGTCCAGGGGAGTAAAGGCCCGGTCTGTCTGTCCAGCCTCTGGGGGGAGGGACTGGGGCATGGAGGGTGGTGACTGTCACGGGAGAGCACAGGATGTGTCCTCCGACCTTACCTGGGGGGGTCTTCCGTCAGGCTGTTCAGACTTGGGGGGAAAGAACTCGCCTCATTGAGCTGAAAGAGCCCCAGCACTGGGCTGCGGCCGGGACGAGGGGGAAGGGGGCTGAACCTCTCAGGTGGGGGGTGTCAGGGCCTCTCATGTGCTTGGAAGCTGTGGCAGGTTTTAAGCTGCGGGGGACTGGCCCATGGGCTGAGTGACATTTCGCCAATGTTCTTAAGTGGCCAGTGGTGCCAGGTCCTTGCCGGCCATTGGGGGAGGCCAGGAACTCGGCTCCAATGGCGGCAGCTCAGGGCCGACATCCTCGTCTGGGACGCCAGGCAGGGTCTACCCTGAGGTTTTCCCCCAGCGACCCCTGTGGGGCCGAGACTTGTAGGGAGCTACAAGTCTCCCTACAAGTCTCATAGGGAGCTGCTCCCGCTGGCCTGGCCACCCAAGGAACCGGCGCAGGGCTCCCTGGTGGCTCCTCGGCCGGTGCTACGCCGGGCTGCCCTCCTGCCCCCCAGACTCGCCTCCTGGAAAGTGCTGCCAGCACCTGAGCCCACTGGGCTCTGGGTGGGCGTGAGGAGGTTCCAGCGTCTGTCCTTGTGAGAGGAGAAGCCCACCCAGGAGAAATAATCGTCTCTCTGTTCCATACTCTAACTCCTTTGTTTTCTCACACACACAGCCGCAGCCAACCTTCACAACTAAAAACCTTCCCATTGCCGTCTTTGGACAAAGATGCTGAAACCCTCACGCTGCCGTCTCTGGAGTGGCTCCTTCCATTTTGCCTGCCTCACTCAGCCCCGGAGCTGTAGAAGTTTAACCCCTTTAAAACAATAGGGAGAGGATAGCAGGAGGCGGAGCTCAGGCGACCTTGGCTTGCGGGGCCCCGGACCCCTGCATTAGAATGCTGTTCTGATACACCACGTTTGTGGGTTTGATCCCTGCTCAGGGCACATACAGTGTCAGCCTATTAATGTATAAATAAGTAGAAAACAAATTGATCTCTCTCTCTAAAAAAAAATCAATAAAATAAGTCAATACCATGGACTGTGTCCTCCCTCCCTCGAGGAAGGCTTGGAGGTGCTGGGCGGGGCCTGCTGGGTCGGGGAAGGAAGGCCCCTTGAAGACGGTGTTGGCTCTGAGCCGGGAAGGATGAGCGAGGGTCTCCAGACGGCTGTGAGGGGCCAACAGGCAGCGAGGATGGGATCTCTGAGTGTGAGGAACGGGAGGCGAACCTGGGGGGCCGGGCCAGAGGCAGTTTTAATGATACCTTGCAGGCAGTCACAGCCAGGAGGTTGCCAGACAGGAGTTTCTGGGTGGACACAGGGGCTGGATTGCGGACAGGAGGCTGGAGCTGGACCACAGGAGGAACAAAGCTCTGAGCTGGAGCTGTGGGGGCAGAAAGGGGGGCCCCAGGCCTTTATGCTGTGTCTATTTTACTCTCCCAAGCAAGCCCCTTTCCTCTCCCTCTTGCTGTCCCTCTCCTCCCCAGGTCTTGGCTACTGTCATCTCCGGCTTAGAAGACTACGGCGACCTCTTCTTTGGGCTTCTTGTCCCCACCCCATCCTCAACAGTGCATTCCCCATAGAGGGGGCTTTCAAAACATTTCCATTGTGACCACACCCCTTTTGCTAAGACCCTTCAATGTCCACACCTCCCCCTCCATCCCCCAGAACTGCCTTCAGTATCAAGATCAAGTCTGACTGGGCCCTGGCTGGATAGCTCAGTCTGTTACAGCATGGTTCCATACACCAAGGCTGTAGGTTTGATCCCCAGTCAGGGCACATACGAGAAACAAATAGTGAATGCCTAAATAAGTAGAACAACAAACTGATGTTTCTCTCTCCCTTCCTCTCTCTAACATCAATACATGAAATTAAAAATCAAGTTTGAAATCTCGACTTGGCATTCAAGGCCCTTAGCCATCAGCCCTGCTCTGAGCGTGCGCAGCCTCCTCTCTGCGGAACACGCTCCCGATGAGCTGGGCTGTTCACGACCTCAGTCACCCCCACTCCTGCCCTTCGTTCTCCCCCCACCCCTACGCACTACAAAAACCTCCTTAGCCTTTCTTTTTCTTTTAAATTTTAATTGTTGTTCAAGGACAGTTTTCTGTCTTCTACTCCCATCCCAGCCCCCTCCCCCGCCCCCCTTAGCCTTTATATATGAGGTCAAAGCCATCAGGTCTGGGTTTCCTTCCCCAATCCTTATCTTCAATACCCTGCTCTTGCTGGCTCTTCAGCTCATACCAGCGGCCACTGGGCATCTGCTTTGGGCAAGGCGCTGGGGATGGTGAAATGTCCCGGGCTGATGACAGTACCCAGGTCAAGGGTAGGCAGAGTGCGGAAGCTGGTACAGCTCCCAGCTCCATCTGGTAACTGCTGCTCCCCACCCTTTCACCCATTCCCTGCACCTGCCTCCTCACCTCCCTCCCACCTGTGCCAGTGACTCACCTGCACACATTCAAACTTGTCCTAGGGACTGGCCTCGTGCCAGTGCCAGGCCAGGTGTTACAGAGTCTGGGTTGCTGCCATTGGCCTCCGGCTCTCAATGAGAAACACGCACACCGAGTGCATTTAACGTAGCCTGTGACAGAGTGAAACAGGGACTGAGGATCAGGTGGGCCTTCCCGAAGTTATTCTCAGGACAAATACCACTTCAGTAAGAAACCAGGCTCCAGGCAGAATGCTGGGACACAGATGAACCCTCAGGGAAAGCACATACCGGCAGAGAGAGAAGCAGGTTGCGATAACAGCCTCCGTACACAGGGCCTCCCTGGGTGCTAGTGTGACCCCCACAGGGTCACACTTCACCGCACAGCAACCCAGTGGTGCAGGCAAGCATCATTGCACCCCCAGTTTACAGATGGAGAACACAGAAGCTCTGTGAGCAAGGATCACACGGCTGGACCCACTCCCTGGCACCGATGGCTATTTGCTGTCAAACATGAGCAGCCCTGAGGGAGATCTCAGGCATTTTCTGATAACGGAAACCAGCTCAGAGCTGGAGGACAGCGGCAGTTCTAACACAGGAGTGCGGCCGAGTTCTATGGCTGAAGGATGGCAGATGGGGCAGCAAGAAAGAGCCACACGAGTAGCACAGAGCACAAGGTGGAGCCTGGTTCTAGTGTGGGCTATCCCGGGCTTTCTAAAGCTACCCCCTTGGAAGGTAGGTGGTGGTGGGGCCAAGGCCTGATCATTTCAGGAGCTTCCGAGGAGGCACCCAGAGAATGGTAGCTAAATTCGCGGGGCAGAAAGGCAGGCTCAGAAAAGGTGGGAGCAAAGGCAAAAGTTGCGGGGGGCAGGAAGGGGGTGTGTGTGTGCCCTTGATCGGAATCTGGCTTGTGGATGGAGGCGGCAGAGGTAGCATGTCTCACTTTGTCCACGAGAGGGCGCCCAGCACCAGACAATGAAGCCGTCCTGGCGAATGGGGGGCGGGGGGTGGTTTGTGGCTGGTTTCTCCAGCGCCCCCAGAGGGAGGATCTGGCTACACACCCAACTCACAAGCCTGAAATTCCAGCAGTTAAACACAAGCACGGACAGGCAAATCAGGTTTATAGATCGATGCATGTTTGCTCATTCTGAGGTTATATTGTCATCTGGGGCCAAATATTTCCCTTTCTAGTGAGAAACACAAGTCAATAAGCTCCTGGACTCCATAATAGGTAAAATTTGAAAGTTTTCTCCCCTAGCAACTACCTTCTAGAAGGAATAACCTATTTTCCATCTCTTTGTCTATGACAAAAAATCATGTAGTAATGCTTCACTCATTTTCAGAGTCACTGAATCTGCTGTTTTTATTTCAATGATTGTCGATTCTAGAATTGTTTTCAAGTCTTCCTGGTTTTATTTTTATTTTTTAAGCTTGAGTGTTGCTCTCTCTCTCCCAGATTAGTGGCCCAGAGAAGGCTGCCTGCCAAGTTATTTTTAGTCTCAAATTTTCTATTTTTTTCTAGAGGTTTCTGTATCTGATATTGTAATAGCAATCTCTGATATCCTGGGGGTCTACATTGTTTATTGCTCCTGGTGCCTTGCTAATAGTGCTCATTTCCTATGTTCAGTAAGTTTTCTGAATAGTTTATAATTGGTTGATATGCAATATTATGATTATTTTGATACTTTTCTCTGGAGGATCTTCATTTTTGCTTCTGCCAGACACTTGGAGATACTACAAGCCTAGAATGATCTTCATTTCTCATCCTAGTGATTCTTTGGCCTCTGGAGTAATGACAATCTGAACCTCGGCCCCAGGAGAGAGCAGACATACATAATAGCCTCTGGTCAGATTTTTTCCCCTTTTCTTCATGCAGGGGCAGAAAGCTTCCTGCTCTGTTCCCTCGACAGACTGGCCGACAGACTGGCCGTGTGATCCCTGCTTGCCTTTTTTTTTCACTGTGGCCAAAGCCACAGTGATCTTGCTTCTAGCCTTAAGGAGAGGTCCAGGCTTTGTTTTTTGAATAGGCTCAAAGCTTAGTCTCCCGTTCCCCCTAGAGGCAGCCAGCTGACGGCTCAAACTCTTCACTTCTGGGAATGTCTCCTGCTCCCCTGCAGCACGGGTTTCCTCCTTTGCATTCAACTGCTTCCGCGGCTTCAGTTTACTCACCTTTTCCTGGCCCTTGGGACATCCCAACACTTATCTGTGGCCACAGCAAGGCAGTCACAGGTTCAATCATTAAATTTATCATGCATCTGGGTGTTTCACGGCAATGGCACATTTAATACAGCATTTCACCGTCACCGCCACAGTCCCTGGGATCCTTTCTTTTCCAGAGCTAAGGCAGACGGTGGACTCCTGACTTGTCTACCACGTGGGTTGTTTGTGGTGGGCTGACAGTCACGAGCCCGAGCTCCTGCAGTTGTTCTGGGCGGCGGACTGCAGTGCTGGGCAGCTGCAGAGGCTGGCAGTCGGCCCCACGTGCATGAAAGATCACATGGCTGAGCCCCAGCCTGGCCTTCTGGGGCCGAGGCCACAGCCCAGTCGTTCTCCCCACCCTGAGATCTAGTAGCCAAGCCCTCCCTTTGATTTCTGGAGGCCTGTGAAGCTGGTGGTGCCAGCAAGCCTTTTGGGCAAGGCTGCTTAGAAGTAGTGCAGGGGCCAGAGCTGGGTGTTCAGGGAACAAAGGGAGGCTGGAGCCAGAGCTTTAGGAAGTGAGGCCTCAGGTCACCGGCCAAGAAACTGGACTCACGGCCCAGGACTCTGTGCACACAGGTGTGCCGGCACAGATCTGTGTATCATGTCACAGCTGGTTAAACCGCCTCCGAACCCTGGAAGGTGTGACCCCGGGACCTGTTGGAGGCACAGCAAATGGAGGGGTGGGGGGGCTTGCAGGGATCTGAGAAGTGTTCAGTTGTAGAAATCCCACTTCAATAATAAACTTAGGACTTCACATCATTGTGAGAAGGACATGACAATTTTTAAATTTTTTGTGGGTGTAGTTTCCTCATCCAATTATTTAAGGGTGAAGAAGCTAACAAGGAACTGGGAGTGTCCGTAAGCTGTTACTGGCACTTAAGTGCAGGCAGGCAGGCAGGCAGAGTCAAGGCACGGGTGGGGCCGGGGCCCCTCAGCTGGCTTCCCAGAGGCCTGGCATCTCCTTAGCAGTAGATCCCGATGTCACTCCCCCAGGTGCTCTTCAGGCCACAGCGAGGCCCGCTGGAGGTCCCCCCACCCCACCGTCCGGCCAAAGTTTGGGGGAGAGGCGGGGAGGACACGGGACACCTCACACCGCCGAGTGTGTGCACCAGCTCCTTTCCAGCTGCATTCCAGCTCGAGTCAGAAAAGGAATATAGCCTTTTTATTGACTACTTTAAGTAGAACAAACTAAATACATATTTACCAGTTTTGGTTCATTTATACAGTACATTAAATAAGTTATGCACAGAGTTAAGTAACAAAAGTTCCTATCATAGAAATGACAAAGCACAGAAAAACCAGACTCGACCGCATCCTGTGGGTGGTTTCACATTCATCATCTCCCTTTAAAAATCATGCTTGGAGGCTGTTTTTAAATTTATTTACATTATTGGCTTTCTTTTATAAACGGAGCTTTTGTAGCCTCCTCGGGAACTTGGAAAGGTGCGAAAGTGGACTGAAGGCCTCTGAGCCCCACAGCACTTTCGCTCGCTCGCCTAATGCTTATTGCTGCTTCTCTGCCAACTCCACCGCGGAGACGGGGCGGTCCCCGCCAGCCCCAGCCGCACACGCCCTATTTGGTATAAGCATCAATGAGTGTGCACTGGGCGGTCTTGGGTCTGGCCAGGCGGTCTGCAGAGGGAGCACAGTCTCTGCAGCTTGAAGGGAAGGGGGCCTGCGAGGCCCGCCGCCCTCAGACCTCCTAACCTGCTCCTGGCTCTGGGCGGAAGAGGTCACCTGCACCACGGTCTTTGGAAATGAGCATGTCGATGCATGCGGGCAAGGAGGCAGGGAGTCAGCGTTTTGGTTTCACAAGAAGTAGACGCCCAGCGCCCCACGCCGCCCTGGGCAGGACTCCTCCTGACAGCTGGCCGGCCGGCCCATGCTGCAACAGCCCAGGCTCCTCTAGCTTTTCTTACATTTGGTTCAAACACACCACCACCCAGTTCTCTGCAAATAGCTAAAAAATTATAGTAATCAGTTTAAGAAAGTTGACTTGGTCTACTGACCTGGGAGTCTAAAACTCAGTTCCGAAGAAAGCCTCCACAATGTGTTCTATTATAAATGATTTATTCAGTCCACAGTCCCTTCCCCAGCAGCCACCTGCTCATTGCCTATGATTTCACTCTGAAGAATTCACTACCATAATTCCAGTTTGTGTTGCTGAACCTGCAAATCCACTTGCTATTTTTCTGGAACTCCCAGAACAAGGTCTGCACCCTTTGCAAGCGGGTGGCAGCACTGGGTATAGATCTGACTTTGGAACAAGGCCGTACAAAGTGATTTCCTGTCTAGTAACTGAAGATGCTCAACTCACATCAACTGACACCGAGAAGTGACAAGCTCCTGCTAGACTAACCAGCCTGGATGGGCAAAGAGCATCAGCAGGCGGAGGGCACACTGATGCTGGGCAGATGTGTCCCGTTTCCAGACTCAGAGCCATTGACTCCCACACACACGACTCGGCCCCGTCCAAGGAAAGATCCACTCACTCTGTGACCTCAGGGCCGTGTGACCCCTGGAGCTGCAGGGCCCTCCAGAGTAGAGTGCTCACACCTCATTAGGGTAGAAGGGCCATCTCTGAGCAGGTGGAATTAACAAACTTCTTCCAGAGTCAATTTTCATTGGTGGATCGAGTCGGGTGAGCTGCAGGCAGTGGAGACCTAGAGGACGACTGGAGACGTGAGGATCCGGCCCTCAAGTATCCCTTGGAACGTACTTAAAGACGCCTTCCACGCTGGCCGCGTGTGGTCTTCTCCGGTTCCCGCAACCACTCCTCACTGGGCAGGACAGTGCCATCCAGTCACTCGTCAGCCCCTCAGTGGGTGATGCTGACCACCAGCCTCGTCCTCCTGATCTGCCCTGACGGCTGGGCAGGCTCGAGTCACATCTGCTTTTGATTCCCAGGGTGCCATCGAAGAGCCTGTGACAGCCCTGACACCTTCAGTATCATCACTCTAACCCTTCTACTTTGTCCCCCCAAATACCGACTATAAAAGTGGGTCCTCTAAGCAGCCTGATTATTTAAAATTCAACTACATGAAAGTGGGACGCCTGGCCGTGCACCCCCAGCCTGGTAGCGGGGGTGGCGTCAGCAGGAACGGGAAACAAGTGGGGCACTGTGACTCACCCCACCCCAAGACTCTGCCCTTCCTCCTCCCGGCCAGACAGCTGGAGAATTTCAGAAAGGAGGGAGCTAGAGAAAGGGACTCTTTGCATTTAGACACGAAGTCTTGGCAGACACCTGCGACCTATGTGTGGAACTGACAAAAAGAACACGGCGGCAGGCCTGTGAACCGAACTGCAGCCGGAGACAGGGCCCAGGGTTTCTTCCAGCCCGGACTCCGGGGAGCACCCGAGCAGCCGTGACAAACAGCATCGTTGGAACCAGGGCCCAGAGCCAGCCAGGACCTGCACAACTAAACTCAAACCTTAACTTAAAAAAGTGACATCAAGGTCTGATGAACAGTATTTTGTTGGTTTGGGGTCCTTATTCCAGGAAAAAACCAGAGCTACCCTGACTAGTCTTGCGGCCACTGAAGAACCTGCCTGGGTGTTCGTCTGACTTGCCAAAAAGACACGCGCGAGCTGCAGACGGACCCCATGGACACCACATGGCCTTGCCGTAGCTGACCTACAGGCTCCCTGACCTCCTTATGGGAGGTTCCGCATCTTAACACAAGTGCGGGCAGGTCCTGTCCGGGCGCTGACTTCGTCCCTGTTCCAGCTGCAACGCCCGCCCACGCCCACGCCCGCAGCTCCAGGGGCTCCAAGGGAACGCAGCGCTGCCCTGCCGCTCCTCTCTGGGCACCCTTCCCCGTGGGCAGTGGAAACACAGGCGTTTAAAGGTGTCTTGTACTGAGTTTCTTTAGCAGACAGAAAACCCTTGGGTAAGGTAAACCAAGGAGTAAACACTCGTAAAGAAAGATACGCCAAACAGAAGGACAATGCTGCCTGTGCCGACCACGCCCCGTCACAGGACCGGGCTTTCCCGACTCCCGTCACGCACAGCAGTGGCCGCCTAAAGCCGGGATTTCGGGTGCCCACGGGAGCGGGGTGAACCCACTCACCCTGACTGATCCCGTGGGAGAGAGGGTGCTGGAGGTGTGGAGGTGATGGAAAGGTCAGGGTCCTTGGGCTCCCCACGAAACCCGAATGGCAGGGGGAAATGTGTGTGGCAGTTTTTAATATTTCAAAAGGGGTTTGGGCGATGTCTTATGTGGAGCCAGGTCAGCAGCTGGAAAACTCCCTAAGACGGGAAGAAAATTGGTCAGGCTCTCTCCAAACAGTTCTCACATTTCACATTTCTTAGCTCGAAGAGGGTGCTCATCAACATCAAACACACGAGGGAATCTGAGACCGTCTGCCCGACAATAAACCGACGCACTGTGTACAGTGGCGAGAAGCCACGAGCTCTGGAGAATTCCTCCGGGTCCCGGAGGGCTGCTCGGAAGTGACCGCCCAGTCACACCACATCATGTCTTATGGGGCAGCTGCGGCCTGCGAGGCACCAGAGACCCCGGGAAGAGATCTGCACAATGATTTGGACACGCGTGTTCTGATTAAAGGACACAGAACGACTGTGCAAACAGCCAGGTGGTGACGGAAGGGTCTGCATTTCCGATGGGTGGTCCATTCAGTGACTCGACGACAGAAGTTGGCCGACATGCGCAGAGAGAACAGACTGGCCGTCCACAGTTGCGTCTCGTTCTCCCTCAGACCAATCCATGCGCTGGAGACTATTTTCTGCACAAGCAAAACCAAACGAGAGAGAACACTGGGTCCCAAACGAAAGCATCCAGCCAGGCTGGAAAATCTTGCCCCAAATTCTCTGTGATGCTTGGTGGAAGTTTCATTCATTTTTTATTGTTATGGGTACTTTCACTGAAACGGTGACTTTCCTGTGGTTTCTGAGAATCGTAAAGAGTCTGCACAGCAGGGTCCAGGGAGTCCTGAGTGTCGCTCTTTGCTCCCCCAAGTCCCGTGGCATCTGCTGAGGGCGGGACTGGGGCTCATCCGAGCTGCTGGGAGTCTGAGGGTCCATCCCCGTCAGGGGGACCTCTCCACGGCCTGCTGTCAGCCTCCAGGCCTCTCGGGGGGACAGTGGGGTAGGAGACTGTGTGGGGCGAGCTGCCTCCAGCCTGGCTGGGCACCTTGGACAGTCCGCTGCCCCAAGAGGCAGCGAGGGGAGCTGGTGGTCTACACTGAAAAGAGGCCGGCCATGCCAGCTCCAGGGGGAGAGGAGCAAACCAGAAAGCCCTGGAGGAGGCAACTCTGCCAGCTGCCTGTGTGCAGAGAGAACACACACCAGCTGCCCCAAGAACACAGATGGGAAACTGGGCAAATGTCTGCAGAGGCTGTGGCGCGGTGTTTGCCGGGCTGGGACTGTTTGCGCCTCCACTTCACTTCTTACTGATGACCCAGCAGCTACCTGTGCTGGTCCAAACAGCCAGCCTTTGTGTTGTGAGGTCATCAGGGGGAAGCGGGCCCGGGGCTCAGAGTCCATTGGTGTCAATGGCTGTCACAGAGGCAGGCGTTGAGGAACGCGAGGTGGTTGCTGAGGTCTTGTCCAGGGCGGGGCTCGGAACGCTGCAATCGGCAGACCTGGCCGACCTCCCCCCAGGAAGCAGCGGCCGGCTCTGGCCGTGAGGGCTCTGGCCATGCAGGTTCTGGCCACAGAGGCGGTGGTGCCGCTCCCAGTCCTTATGCTGGCAGAAGGAGCCGCAGTACCGTGCGATGTTGCAGCCGCTGCAGGTCTCGCTGGCTTTGCGGCCACAGTTCCAGCAGTTCTGCAAGACATAGGCATCGGTTAGTTGTGAGGGTGTCGTGGGGCAGACCTGTCGTCACTTGTCACCTGCACTGCAGGAGAGGGGCCTGCACACGGAGAGCTTGGGCTTGGAGCTCCACCCACCTGGGCGTGTTCTGCCTCACTGCTTTCCGAGTTTCCCGAGTAAAACGGGAAGGGTGTCTACCCTGACGGAGGGGACAGCGAGATGGGGGGATGTGAAAACCCAAACAGCATCATCGCAGGGTAGGCGGGAGTCCCACCTCCTGCTGAAGCACCAACTCACGTGTTATTCCTCAGCAACCAGACCTCGCTCTGTTCCAGGGCCCCACCCCCGCCACAGCTATCTAGTCTAAGACCACACGTGGTTTTCTCTCCTGGTCTCCCCAACAGAGGAATAATCTTATTTTCACTGACAGCCTAATTTTTTTAAAGAAGTCCCCTGCCAGGAGACCAGGGTGGCTGGAACAGGAGTGTGGGTGGTGATGCCACTTCGCTGTGTCCTCTCTCCTTTCAGAGATGTGCCCTGTCACAGGCGGGCCGGGGGTCGTGAAGGTGCTTCTGGCCTGTTGATGGGAGCCCCCCTAGTATCTCAGAGCTCAGGGCCCCAGAGGTCTAGGGCAGGGAGTTTTCTCACTACTCTGAACTTCCCTGGGGGGAGGAGGCATTGCTGCGGTTCCGCAGAAACCATGGTCGGGGGGGTGGGGGGGAGTCAGGGGCGTGGGGGCACCATTGGAAAATGCTCTCCGTCTATGACAGAGGAGACACGCTATGTAAGGTGTGCTCAGAGCTAGAGCAGCAGCCACGAAAGAAGCAGCCGGAACAGTCACTGGCCAACGTTAAGCTTCAGCATCACAAAGAAAGAGGCCACCAAGCGCAGCTCCCAGCACCTGCCTTTCCCCTTCCTCCAGGTTCCTGTGATGATTCCAGCAGTGACATGGGCGTTTTTTCTGCACCCAAGGTCTCCAGGAACCACTTACAGGAAGGAAAAAAGCCTTATGGCATTGGCCAGAAGGAGGAAGTGGCAAGGACTGCTGAGGTATCAGGACGGACCTGGACAGCCCCGCCCTTCCCAAGTTCTCCGGATCGGCAGAAGCCAATCCAGGCTGAACACTCCTCAGGGAAGAGACACCAGTCCTCGTGAAATCAGGACATCTGCTCAAGCGAAAAACAACGGACAGCAAGTGCTGAAAAGGGCCACCTGGCCCCCCTCTTGCATTATATGGATGGGACACTGGGGCCAGTGGGCAAGGACTTGCCTAAGGGCATAAAATGGCTACTTGGCTGTGCAAAGCCTAGAACCCGAACCTCGTGGTCCCACTATGCCCACCGTGTTCGTTTCGTGTCAGAGAACGTTAGGAAGGGCTGGGCACTCCCTTCCGACACAACAGGCTTCTCGGGAAACGCACGCCAGGGACTGCCCGAACTGGCCCACACCAATCCCAGACGACCAAAAAAGGAAACTGAAGGAACCGTTAGGGCTCAAGCATCCCAGAGAAGCTAATACTGTGGAGCCTGGCGAGCCGCCTCCCAGCGACGCCTCGGCAGAGCATCTCCACGCTGGGGGAGGACCTCAGCAGCTGCCTCCGGGGGCTGCTGTGGGAGCAGGCCGATGGGCCGGCCCCGCCGGAGGGCAGAGCGCCCACCGCCTCTGTCCAAGGCTGTGCCCAGGGGCAGGGTAGGAAAGCACTGGTACTTCCAGCTCAGCTGCCATTCTACTTAAAACAGCTTATTTCATAATTTATGACATACAATAAAAACAAAATAAACAGCCTCCCACTGGGGCAGGGTCACACACATGCACGCAGGAGCGATGTGGTGTCAGAGCAGCCAGGGTGAAAAGGACACTGTCATGTTCCCTTCCCCTGTGACTTTTTCCTGACTAAGCCACCAGGCTTTTGCCAAGACATAAGACAAAAAAGGTTTGTTGTTGGAGTCGCCCTTCCAGTCATTATCCCTCAGAGCTGGAGGCAAACGCTTGGCCAAACAGCCTTGAACAGCTCCAGTGTTGACGCTCGGGTCTGGCCTCAGAGGAGGCGGCTGCCCTGCAAGAGCAGGGCTGCCCAGCTTTCGTTTCCGTTGTCGTTAACCGCATCATAGAGTCCTCTGCATCCGCGCACTGCCCGCGGGGCACGCAGCGTGGGGCAAAAACACTTTCACCATCACAACTGAGCTGTTACCACTGGAGAAACTATGAGATCAGCAGGACAGGGGCTGTCACACACCCAGTAACTGCGCAGGGAGGGACACTGACTCCTCAGGGCACACACTGCTAGTGCGGGGCGACGAGAACGGGAACTCAGGGTCAGGGCTCCGCCTGCTAACCAAGCCACCTCACAGGACGAATGCCAAACGCCAGGGGATGCCCTGCTAGACCTTGTTTATTACAGCTCCTTACAAGCAGACTCCTATAAATGGAGAGCTGGGATTTAAATCATGCTGCAGTCCAGACCTAGAACTCATGCTCTTAGCCAAAATGTTACACTCCTTTGGACAAAGGTATAGAAAAATAAAAACACAGATATAAAAGTAGATAAATATGGACAAATATAGATATTGATATGAATAGTTATAGATATAGAATTAGATATCTATATAAATATAGAATTACATACATACAACAGAAGAAGATATCATTGCTCAGAAACAATTCTAAAGAAAAAGAAGGAGGGGAGAAGGAAAAGGGGAGAGTTAAAGAAACTATTTCCTTTTCTTCCCCTCGAGTCTCAACTTTAAATATGACTTCTGATCCCATAATGCAGCATACATTTCTGAGCAAATAAAAAACTGTAGCATGTATTTGGAGAAATCACTTTCTCACCAATATGACCATTCACTCCTCTGACGCCAGGTTCACTAGACAGTCTACAGGGTAAGTTAAAGGAACTATTTCTCAGAATTCAGTGTCTTCATATAATGCTACAGTAAGGAATTTTTTCATATACTCTGTGATGGCCATATGATACTTATAGACATTTTCATTTACATTGCCATGCTTGGCACTGCTATATAGAAAGGGATCATGTAAACAGATTGAGAAAATAAACTTCCTGTTGTTAAAAAAAAAAAAGCAGCCCTGGCTGGCATAGCTCAGTGAATTGAGTGCAGGCTGCAAACTAAAGGGTCGCAAGTTCAATTCCATGTCAGGGCACATGCCTGGGTTGGGAGCCAGGTCCCCAGTGGGGGCCATGTGAGAGGCAACCACACACTGATGTTTCTCTCTGTTTCTCCCTCCCTTCCCTTCTCTAAAAAAAAATAAATAAATAAAATCTAAAAAAAAAAAAAAACCCCCACACAACTAAAATACCCAGTTCTTTACAACTTCAAGAGAATGTCCCAGAGACAGCTGATCACTCAACTTACTTAGAGAAAAACAGGCTTGCTTAGGACTCTTAAAGCTGAAAAGCAACTAAAATGAACATTACAGAAAAACTTCCCTATATTCAAAAGGACTGCTATGGTGTTTTTGTCATGTGCTTCCCCCCCGCCCCCAGTTAGTTCATTTTCACCTACTTTGTTGTACAAGAGAGTCGTTTCTCTTAGGAGCATCACCAGCCCCTGAGCCCTGGGTTTGAGAGAGTTGGGCAGGTCTGCCTGATCGGTTGCTCCAATAAAAGAACCACCCTATTTACAAGTAGACTGGTTGCTACAGGGGACTATGTTTCCTTCCTCTTGCACCCTGGCTTCAGCACCGTGGGATCACATCAGTTAAATTCCCAAACGCACAGTTCCCTCACCTGTAAGATCAGAAGCCACCCACGCCTGCCTCACAGGGCCACGGGAGGATCGAAAGGCAGCATGCATACTCAGCCCCATGGCCGGCACGGAGCGCACGGGCCCGCTCACTCAAGGGGAGAGTCATTGCTGTCATGCAATTCTACAGACTCTGTCCTTAGGGTGAGTTTTCAAAATTTAAACCAATATAGTAAGCTAATAGATATAAGAATAGGGAACAGGGTGGAGCAAAGGTACATCTACAGTTGGGAGCATGTGCAACACAGGGTTTGTTCTTGTATCATTATTTGTTAATTATTGTGTTATTTTCCATATGAACAACTATAAACCTACTTTTCTGTTGTGTCGCCAATACCCCCCCCCCCCCCCGCCCCAGTATAATTGAGAAATAAACCCTTCTGCTCCGGGATAGAAATCATAACCGTCCAGTTCAAGAGCGGACAGTTCTATCTTATTGCCCAGTCCCCGAGAAGAAAGCAGTGGGCTGGGCCAGGACGGCCGCCCCAGGCCGGCCCCAGGGGCTAACGGAACTCTGACCTCCGTGGACTCCTCCTGCTCGTTTATGACGAGGAAGGCGTCCTCCGCGGCCTGCCGTTTGACGTCAGCTATGGTTTGCTCCATCCGAGCTCTCTCTGTTGCAATCACTTCAAAGGCTTTTTGCTCTGCCTCGGCGACGGCTTTCTGTACTTCTGACATGGCCTGAATTTTCACCTTATTCACAGCTTCTTCTAGAAGAAAGTGACAATAAAATCAACTGGCCGAGAATTTTTTCCCTCCCACCTGCATCATTTCTAAAAAGGGGAAGAAATGAAACAAGACGACTTTTCTAAAAACACACCAAGATGAACATATATATGTGTTCAGCTTTTATTCTCACACTCACTTGTCCGTTCATGCAACCATCTGCTGGGTGTACAAATGGAGGCAGGCACTGTGCTGGAGACTGGGAATGCCTAGGTGACTAAGTTGTAGGCCGTGTTCTCCTGTTTGTGATCAAGTATAAAGGTGGCTGAGGTGTCGGTGTGAGATGAGACCCAAGGGAAAGCTGTCAGCCCTAGAAGTGACAGGGAAGGATCAAGAAGATGTGTCTTGGCTGAGATGGTAGGTAGAAATGAATTTTTGGAGAGCCTTGAACCTCATGCTAAGGAATCTGGCCCCATTTCTAAAGAAACTGAACTCCAAAGGGTTCTATGCAAGGAGAAAAGGCTTAAGACAGAGATACCAATTGAGAGGCTAGGACAGCAATTCAGAAGAGATCAAAGAGAGTCTGAGTTTAGGCAGAAGCAAGCGGCACAGAGGAGGGGATGGAGCAGAGACTGGCAGCACCTAGGGTCTAGGGTCTGAAGGTGGAGGCCAGGGTGATGAATGGTGGTGCTGTGCGATGAAATGGATACAGAGCACAATGCTGGTGTGGAGGCGAGTGAGGCTGAGGTGCCTCCGGAGCATCCAGGTACAAAGGAACCGGAGGCAGGTATGGAAGACTGATCCCGGCAGAGAATAATGGGCTGTAGATGCAGACCTGGGCGGGGGGGCGCCAGGAGCCCTGGTCACTTCCTCCCACCATCACCATCCTGCTCGGTGTCCACAGGACGGACGCTCCGATGACACTCCAAGCCTGAGCCTCAGCCCTACGTCCCGGTGGAAATACCTCCCTCCTGAGGCAAGGATGGAAACCCCCTCATTGCGTGGCTGTTGCACGTGGTCTGGCTGAAAGGTTTGAACAGAGCGTTCTAGGCTGCCATCCTAGAACTTTCCATTTTACTGCTCCAGCATTAAGAAAAGAAAGTTTTCACCTCAAAGGTCAAGCAAGCACAATGTTCAGTTGACTTGACACTGAACTTCACGCTCCCTTTACTCCTGATGTCCACACAGGTCCACTGTGGCCCTGCACAGCTACCTTTCAAATCCCCTTATTAGTTATCAGGTAAGTATTGTCTCTTATTAAGCCGACACAATAATGCCCTGAAGAACATTTATCCTTTCAGTTTAAGGATCAATAAGAATCAGTTTGGATAACTACCTTGCTGAAGGTCATCTAAGATCACAGACAGATGGCACTACAGCAGACCAAGGACTCAAATTTAGCTGGCCCTATGCCACGGTCTGGTTGTTAACCAAAGGTACCTTCCAAGTAGAAAATAACTAGTTACCAAAGAGATCTCGTGCATGGTAATGTTTCTTACTGACAGTTAGAATGAACATTTTATAATGTTTATTTGTATTCAAAGGATGGGAGCTTCCATCCTTGCCTCATCAGGGAGGTGTTGCCACTGGGACGTAGGGCGGAGGCTCAGGCTTGGAGTGTCACCAGAGCGTCCGTCCTGTGGACACCGAGCAGGATGGTGATGGTGGGAGGAAGTGACCAGGGCTCCTGGCCCCCTGCCCAGGTCTGCATCTACAGCCCATTGTTCTCTGCCAGGGTCAGTTAAAAGTATTAACTTTTTGCTGAAGCAAATTTTATCTCGGGAAGAAAAGCAAAAACTGTACTGGACTTAAATGTTACTGGGAGAAGGAGGCGAGAAGAAAAGGCAGCTAGGATTTGGATAAGGGAAGGATTAAGAATAGGAGGTTAGTCCGACCCTCTGTCAAACCACAACAGGCAGCCCCACCCTTCTTGATTCTTGTGGAAATTGAGGCCTCCCTAGAACACTCTTGATGAATGAAGCTAGGGACAGTGAAGGTGAAAGGAACAGCCGGCTGGTCCCAAGAGCAGAATGAATGAAATGTGAATACAGTGTGTACAGATTCCACTGAACAGAACAGGCAGAAATGAATTAAACCACATGCCCAGAAACAGGGCATATAAACAGGGAAGAAGAGTTGGTTACTTAATGCCTCCATGTAACCCAGAAGGACCTGGGTAGACTGTAGGGAGGCATCCCAAATTCGTGACCTGCAAAGTAACCTGAGAGGCGTTCAGATGTGTGGGGAGGCCGGAGGGGAAGAGGTAGGAGCCCAGAGCTCTACGAGGAGGAAGTTATGAGACAACAATCTCTCCATCAGACAGGCGCCGCACACAGGGGCACAGATCAGTACATGCAACCCTCCGTAAGCAGACAGACACATACCAGTTTTCTTCCAAAACTCCACGGGCACATATCCTGCCGCTGGCCTGCTGCTGAATTCCCGCTGTGACTCTAAGGGAGAGAGACAAGTGGCATCAAGTCAGAAGCTGTGCATGATGGCATGTCTTACTTTTATGAAAACTTTATCAGACCTCTCATTTGCCTCCAACATGTATGTTCATTTAATGCAAATATACTATGATAAGGGATATAACCAGATTACAAAGTAGCTCGTGACTTTTTAAAATATTCTAAAACAGCTCATTAAGTCTAATGTAGATAAAACCAAATACCAAGGGTTGCTACTCCATTAATTTTTAAAATTTATACTTCATAAGAAAATGACAGTGAATGTGCGTGCAAAAAAGGGGATAATTATCCTGACAAAATAATATTATTAATCCATAGAAAGAGCCAGAACAATAATTTATTTATTGATTTTTAGAGGGAAGGGAAGGGAGAGAGAGAGGGAAACATCTCTGTGCGAGATAAACATTCACCGGTTGCGATCATTTATACAACAGATGCCAAATGAAGATATGCCCATTAAACCAAGGAAATAAAATAGAAAAGCAATCCCTGACACAGCAAACAGAAATCATGCATTTGGGACTGATTTGTTAAAAATTTTATCTAATAAGCTGTTATTCTTATATTTCAACCAAATAACAACACAAGTTCAACAACATTTACCACCAAAACATTTCTTTCAATTAGCTAAATTTTCTATCCAAAAAGTCAAAGTGTTATAAAGTGACTGTAAATGCTAATGCCAGAGTTAAAAGTAAATCTAGTCACATGTTCATGTGATTGGGGCCAGAGCCTTCGTGACCCATGAAGACACGAACGGCTCCTGGGACTTGATGGTGCTGGACCTCCTGCTGCCAGCTGTGGTCACACAAGGGTTCTCTTCATGCCATTAGAGTGTGTATTTATGCTGTATTTTTTGTACATGGTAACAATTTTATAATAAAAAGTAAAAATAAGAAATACCTTTTAAAAATAAGTGAATTAACTAACATAATTTCTCCATTGTATACCCATTTTGAAACTGAAAACACCAACAGATGGAGGCAAGTAGCCCAATTCCTTCCAAAATGGAACCATATTCACGGCTGTTCCTTTCTGAAAATGGTACATTTTTGGTAAACATCAATTAGATCTAACATATTACTATTCCTTTTTAAAAAAAGATTTTATTTATTTACTTTTAGAGAGGGGGGAAGGGAGGGAGAAGAGGAGAGAAACATCAGTGTGTGGTTGCCTCTTGCCCCACCTGGGAACCTGGCCTGCAACCCAAGCATGTGCTCTGGGAATGGAACCAGCGACCCTTTGGTTCACAGGCTGGCACTCAATCCACTGAGCCACACCAGCCAGGGCCACATCACTATTCTTTAAAAAATTGTTGTAAGTCTTCCTAATGGTCAATCACTTCTATATTTTCAACTGGGAAATTAAATTTCTCATGTAGTAAGTGTTTCCAGGTCAGTAAGACATTGCTGAGAGAGACTGAATTCTCCACTGTGCTGTTTGTCGCTCTCTGCCATAGGAGGATGCAATACCAACCGCATGGGTCTGCACCACATACAGAGTTCTCTCCGAGTCACAAAGAGCGTGCCAGTTCCTTCTGAACTCTGTAACCATACCCAAGACGGACTTCTGTCTGATGAAGCACAGCCGTCATCTGTCTCGGGGGAGACACTGAGGTGCAGACCCAAGAGGAGCGAAGTCCTCTCCAGCTGCAGTGTCTCTAGCACACTTCATTTTTACTTTTAAAACACACACATGCATGCCTCAAATACTGGAAGTATTTCAGAGTAGTGAGATTAAAAGAGATCTTCACTTATGAACACACATGTATTTTAGAGCACTTCCTAAAATATAAACAGTTATACTTAGGTGTTACACACATGTATTTCTGTATCCAGTTAGCGGTCCCCATCATGCACACAGCGCTGACTGGCCAGTGCTCTGTAGGTATGTCAGGAAATAGAGCTTTTGTTTCTTTGCAACTCTGAACCCTTACATGTGACTTAAGGAGGTTTCCTGTAAACTTCTTTAAATGCCTACAAACACACAAACAAGCAGCGAGGAAACAAAACCCTGATCTGGAACAGTGTATTTCAAATGTACCCCAAGAGGCACCCTGGGGTTGCTGGGGAGGACACAGGGGTGGAGGGTGGCTTATCATATATGTTCATTGCGGTTTTAAGACACAATATTCTATAAGAAATGGGTCCATTGCTTTCTAAAGTGCGAAAGTGCGAAAGTCTAAAGTGTGAAAACTAATTAAGGTAATTTGAGGGTTGTTTTTGTGTTCTAATGTCAGTGCTAGTGGACTCCCTCATTTTCTTATGCTTTGTTGAGGCTAATCTGAAAAGTGCATTTTATGCTCCGAACACTCACCAAGCTGTGGTGCCAAGGGGAATCAGAACGGCCAGTGTGGCAGGGGAGGCCAGCCTGGCACACAGCATTTGCCTGAGAGGCTTAATAAAATGGCCAGTCGTCAGGAGAATGCCTAGGATTGGCTGCAAACTGGTCCTGGGTACGGGGGGAATCTGCACGGAGAACCTACTGTTGTACTCCCTCGAAGCTATGGCGAGGGGGTGGTCAGGAAATTTTTTAAATCCTGGAAAATATATATATATAACATTTACCATTTTAAAGTTTATAATTTAGTGATATTTTGTACAGTCACAGTGTTTTGCAACCATCGCCCCTGTCTAGTTCCAGAACATTATCACCCCTGAAGGGAATCCCATAAGTTAGACATTCTGATAGTATGAATGCTTTCTGTGACATTGCACCCTCTGGAAAGGCTATTATCACTGTCAAAAACAAAACAAAACAAAACAAAACAAAACAAAACAAAACCCACAACCAAATAAAAAACCCCTGAAGGGTTCTCTTCAACATAGGTGAGGTTCCTGATTCAAATATCATACTTAAGTGTGAGATTAATAAACTACAGAGAAAAATCTAGGACTGGAAGAAGCAAAGTAACACAAGCTAAAGAGAAGGTGGTAGATCAATTTCAACTGAGTCTCCCCCCCCCACCCAGGTGAGTCTTACATAAGGAAAGCCAGTAAGAAAAGGGGGTTTTGAGTGTGTAGATAAGCCATTATTGATGTTAAATAACAGAGGAAACATGTGTTTACTTGTGAGGATGTGGGTAAGTCTTGACCAGTCGAGGAAAAGCCACTCCACTTCGGTCATCAATAAACCCTTGGTCATATCCTTTGAGGACCTGCCCAGTCCTTGGCATCTTATGTTTAGGACAGATGTAAAAGGCGAGAAGCACCTGACCCTAAAGGAACTTCTCAGCTTATTCAGGAAATGCCTGGAAGGTAGGGCCATTTTCATGGTATTTCCTGAAGCCAAAGTAACTATTTTTATATCTCTAACCCAGAAGGAGACAGAAGTCAGGATTTCTGGTGGTTCACTAAGAAAACTATGTAGTTTCAGAGGCTACTGTAATCAAAAGCCAGGCAGATAATGCAAATATATTGGTCAAAATAGGAGAGCTAATGGTATTGTGGTTATGTAGGAGAATGCTCTAGTTCTTAGAAAAAAGGAGAATGAAGCATTTAAGGATGGAGATAAAAGTCTTCAGTAAATTGCATGTTTCTGGTTTTCTACAATGAGCCATGTAGTTTCACTAAAGAAGATGATACTTACCTTGTGAGGTTCTGAGAATTAAATGATAACATACATGAAAGAAAGTCCTCAACTTAAGTCCTCAATGATAAAGTGTCTTTTTTTAAAGGTGATTCTTCTGGTATTGCTACAGCTTGATTTTTTCAGTTTTGGGCATTATTAACCGACTAGCCACTTGAGTAGGGATTTCGTTTTTTTAACCTCTACTTCCAACCCACCACAGACACACTCACAATTCCTTCTCCTTCCATCTCCCCAAATTCTGTTACAGCAAGTCAGCATTGACAGTGTTCAGTGTGGATACTTATCACAGCTGAATCTAGTGGTTCAGATTCTGAGAATCTTTATTTTCCTTAAAAAGTTTGATGTTTTTTCTTAACTGCCTTATTTATTCATGTGCTAAGTTTCTTATGTAATTATTTCTAGTTCAACCTCAAAGTTTCTTCTTATTGTATAAATATTTTATAAATTTAATTTTCTTGAAAAAAATCTCCAGGAATCTTCTGGGCTATTCCAGTCTGAATCGGCTGCTTTCAAGGCTTGCTGTACCCCTGTTCCTTGGGAACCCCCTCACTGTCCTAGGGATCCCTTTCCACAATTCTATGTCTTCCACCTTCTGGTTTACTTCCCTGTATTGAGATATATCCTTCCCAAATACAGTAGACACCACAACAAAGGGTAGATGGGAGGTGTTATTTCATGAAAAAATCGTGGGTTGTTAAGCTAACACTTGTTTTAGTTGGGTATAGAACTCTAAGTAATTTTTCTTCGGATTTGTATTCTTTCTTTTAAAAATACTTAAAAAAATCAGTATCAGCCATATATATATATATATATATTTATTTATTTATTTATTTACTTTCAGAGAGAGAGGAAGGGAAAAGGAAGAGAGGGAGAGAAACATCAGTGTGAGAGAGACACACTCATCGTTTCCTCTCGCACGTCCCCAACCAGGGACCTGGCCTGCAACCAGGCATGTGCCCAACCAGGAACTGAACAGGTGATCTTTTGGTTCCCAGGCTGGCACTCAATCCACTGAACCACATCAGCCAGGGCTATATTCCATTATTTCAAGTGGGTAAAGTAATAATGCCATCCAGTCTCTAGTCAATTTCTCTCAAATCATCAGAACACTTAAATACTAAATACTTAAATTAAAATTCACCAGGGGCTTCTGCAAAACTCAAAACATTCAAAACATGAATTACCTAACTATTTGCAAGTCCTTGGTAAGCGGTGTTATGCCTCAAAATACTATTCAGTATAGGACAGTGCTACTCAAAGTGCTGGTCTGCAAAATGTTTTTGTCCAAGAAGAGATATGGAACTTATGCCAGAATGCAAAACAACTATGTCTCTAAGCACATTGCTTGGTTTGGGGGACTGTTCTTACAGTGAAGCTAATGGAGCCCAGTACCTGCTGGGGTAGGCTTCCCATGCTATCACAGACCAGCATCAAGTAGTTTTGGAATGGTTTTGGTTAACATTTTAAATAGTACACTTGTTTAGGATATGAATTATGCTTTCCTTCTACACTACAACAATACTATTAAAAAAGCAGTGAAAAATATTCAATACATATAACATACATAGATATCCTAAAGTGACAATTTATCATCCCAGTTGTCCTCATCTGAGAGTGAGGAAGGCGCTAGTAATTATTATGACAGGATAACATGCATAAACCGGGATTCTGCCAGGTAAACTGGAACATCGGTCAACCTAGCTGAACCCCCAAGCAAAGAGTGAGAAAGGGGAGTCAAGTTAACACAAGGCAAGGACTGCGATCCTGGCTGGAGAAGAGCCGACTCATGACTATGCATCTCACTTCGTATTCATGCAGACTCCTTGATGGAAGGTTTGTGGTTTGGATGGTGTACTTTGGATACATTTCTGCTAGTTGTTACAGGTATTCTCTGATATCTTACTGTGCTAGATACTCCACACAATGCTGTTAATCTATGGTTGGTTCAAGAGTCACTTATGTGGATGAGGTGGGGGAGTGGGATCCCAATGTCTTGCACCAGTTTTTTTGGTAGTCTTTTTGAGGTTAACAGCTGTCTCCTGTGGAACAGGCTAGGTCTGTCATAGAGATTCATTCCCCCTTGTGAGACCTGGGAGCCTGAAGTGGGTGGGCGGGGAAAGAGCCTCATCACAGATGGCCTCTCATTTATCTTTGCCTTTGGATATGGTACCTTTTCAGTTATTAGGTGAATGTGATGACCACTTTGCAGGAAACAGATGTGGCACCCTGGATGTACCCGGATTGAGAGAACAGTTGCTGCTTCAGGCTGGGAAAAGGGAAGATGGGACAACCCAGCTTGGTATAGTAAACTTTTTGTAATGGCCTCCAGGAAGGGGTTGATAACTGGCATGTTCCTGATGGGGACTGGGAAAAAGATGAGGGAAAAGTGAGGCAAACACACACAGGGCTACTGTGAGGGACACTGCATTTTGCCATGCATAGTGGGCTCCCATGGTTCAGCACTACCCATGTGTAATGCTCATCCCTTATTTTTCCATCAAAAATTTGGGCAAAAAAGTGCACATTATACATGGCAATATACGGTAAATGTGATATATGAGAAAGCACCTAGTACATTCGTGTAGGCTGAATTTAATAACCAAATACTCTTTGATCATCATTTTTAGCATGTGTATAGAGAGTTAAAAATAGAACAAAATTAAAAATATTTCCATTCTTCATGAGGAAGACAATTGTTTCTTGAACATGTCAGGTACTGAGTCTTTGACATATGAGGTCTGTCTGGAAAACCTCCAGCCATTATTAATAAAATGAGAAAGGTCTGCATTGATGTAATCTGGTAGCCAAGGAGAGTGGACTGGAATGCGCATATGTGAACAATGATGATTTCACTGTACTAATCAGTGGGGGTGATAGATGCTGTTGAGTAGCATGTATACTGTGTGGCTGTTGCATTTAAAATGACTGAGTGAGTAGAGCACAAATCAGCATCAAATTTTGCATTAAGCTTAAACATTCCTCCACAGAAACTACTGAGATGATTCAGAAGGCTGCAGCTATGGGCAACTGGTGATTGGCAGCTTTATCACAGCAATGTGCCCGCTCATGCATTACGTGTTGTGCAGAGCTTTCTAGTGAAACATCAAATCACCCACGTTGACTCAGCTCCCCTACAGCCCAGATTCGGTGCCCTGTGACTTCTAGCTTTTTCCCAAACTAAAATCACCTTTGAAAAGGAAGAGATTTTAAGCTGTTGATGAGATTCAGGAAAATATGGCGGGGCAGTTGATGGCAATTAGGAGAACTGTCCTAGAGTACCTACTTCACAGGGTACTAGGTGTTGTTGTCCTTTGTACAATGTTCCTTGTATCTTCTTCAATAAATGTCTCTATTTTGCATGTTACTTGGCTGGATAATTTCTGAACAGATCTCATATTTTATTATCTACGCTTCATAATCATCTAGATCTTTCTAACTCTACATTCTAGCACCATCGTCCTTTCGAGTAAAACATAACAAGTTGGCCTTGCCCCCTTACCATTGCTGAGAGAGTCTGCGCTCCCAGGACTGTGCTGCCTGGAGGCCAGTTCGCTCCCTGTCTTCCTCATCTCTGTGTTTTCATTGTATCGTCTTTTCCAGTAGTTGAGTTCCTCACGATCTGATTCCTGGCAGCGCCGCAGAACTGCCATGGAGCGCCTCGTCTTCTCTACCATTTCCATGATGCAGTTCAGGGCCTGAACCAGAGAGGAAGTCAGGTCATTGATGAGATGAGGATGTTTAAACACCAACATGGCAAATCAAGGACAGGTAAACAAAATATGTAAAGAATGAAGGTTTAAGTATCTTACAGATTAAGCAATAACAAGTTTACATTTTAAAGCCTTTCTTACCACTTCTTTTAAAATAGATATATTTGTATATACAAATACACACACCCCATTTATTTTTTGTTTGGATTTCAAATTAACACTTTGGATTCTTTAAGGTTGGAGCAGCCAGAGTCTCATTGTAATATGGCCCTTTCAAGGCTACAGTGAAACCACATTATATATCTGCCTAAAGACATCTGATAAAGCTGGAGATTTATTAAAACTGCAATCAGAAATAATGTTCAGAGACAGTATCACTCAAGATGGAGAAAGTTATTGTGTGTACATCTTAATTAACTACTACTCTTTTAGTGAGAAGGGGAGCCCTCTCTTATGATGGGACGAGAACCTGGGGTTACATTCTGTACTAGTATGCCAATTCTCATTCCTTTTTGGAGACGTTCCATTTACATAATGCTTCCTATATGCCAGGTGCTATGATTAATTAGCACCTTACATATTACAACCCACCAGTGAATGCAAATACAGCATTTCTTTTAATAAAAAAAATATATATATATTTATTTATTTTCAGAGAGAGGGGAAAGGAGGGAGAAAGAGAGGCAGAGAAACATCAATGTGTGGTTGCCTCTCGAACACCCTCAAATGGGGACCTGGTTTGCAACTCAGGCAAGTGCCCTGACTGGGAATCAAACCAGCTGCATTTTGGTTCACAGACTGGCACTCAATCTACTGAGCCATAACAGCCAGGGTGATAAAAGGGAATATATTTTGACACACAATATTTTATTAGTTTCAGGTGTACAACATAATGACTTGACACTTATATACCTTACGAAGGGATCATCATCATGTCTAGCAGCCATCTGATACCATATAAGGTTATCACAATATTATTGACTATATTCTCTATGCTGTATATTATGTCCACATGATATTTATTTTATAATTGGAAGTTTGTACCTCTTAATCCCCCCTTACCTTTTTTACCCACCCCCTACCCCAACTCCTCCTCTCTGGCAACCATCAGTAGGTTCTCTGTACCTATGAGTTGCTCCCTGTTTTCTGTTGTTTGTGCATTTATGTTGCTTTGGCATTTTTTTTTCTTTTGGATTCCACATGAGTGAAATCATATAGTATTTGTCTTTCTCTGTCTGACTTATTTCACTTTAGCATAATATCCTCTAAGTCCACTTGTGTGTTGCAAATAGCTAGATTTTGTTCTTTTTTATGGTTGCGTTAAAAAAAAGAGGAATAGATTTAATGGATTATTTTTTAAGTTATAAAAATTCAGGCTAAAAATGATGAAGCAACTTACCCATCACACAATGGTAGAATGTGGCCAAGCTGGGACCTAAACTCACAAACCTCTATTACATGACTTTACTTGGTTATGACTTAAAGTGATCACCCCAACACAAAGATTTGGGAGTTACTCTTAGCACTCAGCTGGGGGAATAGTAGATAGATCAGCTTTTATAGCAAAGACAATGTAGATCTGGTTAAGTTCACTGGAAACATATATATTCTATTACTATTGGTAATATTAAGAATTAAAAGTAATAAATAGGAAAATTATATACTAAAGATTCTTACATGATCAAGATGTTTCCATTCATCAGCCCATTCCCTTTCTGTCAAACGGTGGTCTACCAACTCATCTTGATAGCCTCCATTTAGACCTATTAGAAATTGAGATTAAGTTTAAAGATAGTGTGAAGAATACAGTAAGTAGAATTCTATTAAATAAACACACATGCATTCATACCAGCTATGCACATACTTACTAAGGCAATGATTCATAACAGAGTGTGGGACCCACGAAATGACAGAAAAACCAAAAAAAATTACTGAGAATATATTTAAAAACTCACATACATTGATTATGAAAGACCAAAAAAAAAAAAGAAAAAAAAAAGAAAAGAAAAGAAAAGAAAAACAGCCTTGTGTCACTTACTAAGATTGTGGTGTCTATCACGAACTTCTCGGTGTTCTAGCATCTTGTTGGGTTCTCGATACAGGTGGGAAGTTGCGATATCCTCTAAGGTGTAGTGCTGAAGAGGTGGAGGTGTGGGGTGGAACTGGCCCCCGGGATTGATAAGGGGCACAGTGAGGGCAGGACTGTGCCGAGGAGCAGGGCTGATTGTGCACACTCTCTTGGCGGGAGGCTCCGGAGGAATTGGATCTCTTTCAAAACTGCTTTCTTCCCTCCTGTGCAAGAATGGGAAGTACATATGAGTCTACTGACAAGTGTTCATGCAAATATGTCTTGGAGCATCTACTCTGTGCTATGTATGTATTGTGCTACCCACTTTCACAAACAGGAAGACTATAAGGAAAGGTTTGACATAAGGCATGTGAACTGTCTTCAGAGGCCAGAGAGATAATGGAAATTACCAATTTATTCCAGCAGGAAATGAGAAGTCAAATTCATCCACAATAAGGCAGGAACATCTAAACTTCATGAAGCAAACTGAGAGACTGAGGAGATGATGACACTTTCTTACATGATTAAGAATATGATACTGTGGAGGTCAGTTATTGAAAACAATTCTCCACATGGGAGAAAAAAGGCTCAAATATTAATAACACTTATGAATTGGTAGGGCTTTTAGTCATTTAACTTCAGTTATAACAATTTTCCACTGTTGTTAAAATATTGCTTCCTCAACAAACCATAAAATATTATGGTAGTCACTCATACTCAAATTTCCAGAATAACTTAATATAATTTCAGTCTTCAAAGTAATGGTGATTCATTAGCAAGTATCAATAATTAATTGTTATACTTTTATAAAACCTCACACAGCAGTCCTGACCAGTGTGGCTCAGTCGGGTAGGCACTGTCCTGCAAAGGAAAACATCACTGGTTTAAGTCCCAGGGCACACATCTGGGTTGCGGTTCGGTCCCTGGTTGGGGCATGTACGGTTGCAACCCATCCATGTTTCTGTCTCACACCAATGTTTCCCTCCCTTTCCTTTTCCCTCTCTCTAAAAATAAATAACAAACAAAATCTTTTAAGAAAAGCTCAAACAAAAAAAACTCTCACATATCAGAAAAAAATGCCTCGGGCAGATTATTTCTTATGGCTCTGGAGCAGCAGACACACAGAATGCTCTAGAGCAGCTTCTCGCCAGAGGCACACAGAGTCATCTGAAAAGTTTTTGAAATGTACTCATGTCTGGGAGCTACACCTATAGATTTGAGAAGCATTCTGTTGCCTGAGATTGGGACAGAACAACACTAACCTTAGAATTCTGAGTCTATACCTATAATATAACCAATCAAATATTAAATCAAAAATTAAATCAGTAATCAAATATTATTTCACAGGCAAAAGGGAAGCTCAGAATGGTTCCAAACAGAAAGGACGACCAAGCTCTTTACCGCTCACCTTTCTGGACTGGGCCTCTTGCCATTTCCATGCACTTCCATGAGCAGCTCAGAGGAGTCAGCAGGTGAGGCGATACTTGTGTTGAGCAGAAGGTGTTCGTGCTGAGCCAGGTACTGGGATGGGGTCTGCTTGGCGGCCCGTGCACAGTGCAGCAGTTCTCGCTGCAGCAGGGGCAGGTTGGCCTTGAAAAGAAAAGGCAGGGTCTGGGCGGCAGTGTTCCCAGTGCTGGGCCCCACGCAACAGGGCCCAGCACCTCAAAAGGCTTTCGCAGACAAGATGACATAAGACCGAGGCCCTTCTTTCCTTCTGTCTGATTTTTTCATGTGCCTCTGTGAGTAACGTGACATCTATTACACTGAACAGGAAAGGCTCGTCTCTTGTCCTCACAAAATTTAAGTCCCCTAAGGAAGACAATGTGCTTTCTTCACCTTTGTGGCCTAATACAGAGTTAAACAGAGCTCAATAAAGGTTTGCTGAACATAATAATTTAAAACATTTTTGAAGACTTTGGTCAGTTATAGAATCAATGTGCCTTCATGTGAGCAGGAGGCATTCACTTCCATCTGTCATTACAAGGCCTGGTTTCTCTGAGTACTGTTTAACCTTCCCTTCACATTCTTTATGAGAACCACCATGGAATTCTGGAAACGGTGATTATTCTAGCTTGGCCGGAACATGAGTTTTGAAAAAGAAAAGAAAAGAAAATCGGGAATGGCTGCAATGAAGCCTTAGACTGGGCTCTGAGGACACACAGGTAACCCAAGGGCAGAACTGACTTCTTGGTGTGGCGTCCTCACTGGGCACATTTCTTTCTTTTGTAAAAGGACAATTAATTATGTACTGATTATTTTTTCCTTCTCAAACCGAGAAAACCTTTAATGTGGACAAATAATTAAAAAACCCCCATATACTCTCACCTGAACTCTAATTCCTTCATATATAAATGTAGTTTGCTCATATTCCTTTATTAAAAAAATAAAGTAGGTTCCCAGCCAGGGTACATCCCTGGGTTGCAGGCCATAACCCCCAGCAACCGCACATTGATGTCTCTCTCCCTCTCTCTCTCTCCCTAAAAATAAATAAATAAAATCTTAAAAAAAAAAAGTATGGATACCTAAAAAATAAAAATAAAAATAAAAATAAAAATAAATTAAAAAATAAAAAATAAAGTAGGCATTATATTTCCACCCCACGTTTACAAATAACACAGACTGAGCCCATAACAGAAGTCTTTATTCTAATGGAAACAGATGAGTAAGTGAAAGGCAAGCAGTCATCCCTTTACCAAGGGTTAATTTATTAGGCACCATAATTAGTGACTGTTTTAAAGTAGAAATAAATCAACAAAAACCCAAATGCTAGCCACAAACTGCCATAACAACCTACCTCATGCTGTTTTCCAAAATAACACAGTTAAGAATAGGGAATTTGATGATATAAGATACTTTTTAAGTCTGTTCTATAATCTCAATCTGTAGCAACTGTAAAAACTTAATTAAAAAAATACCATGCCAGATCCTTACATCTGTGATGTGTATGTACCCTTTGATGAACTATTTTTTAAAAAGAGCTAATTCTTTCCTAATGACACAAATTTCACAAATCCTTCTTGATTCCGGAGTCTTGGGGAAAATAACGGTTTACTAGCTCTGACGTACAGAAAACAGACCAAGAAAGAACTAGCACATCTGTTTAAAGGCTAATAAACAAGGCGCCACAGACAGCTCTGAGGGGCTGAGGCTTCAACGCTGTCAGAACAGCGCTGTACCGCAGGCCATGCACCCGTGCACTCTCCAGTACATCTGCCGTGCTCTGACTGGAAAGGTTTTTAAAAACCAGTACAGTACTTCAGTAGGGTGATCCATCTTCCTGATATTATGATTAACCAGATATTTATTTAGGCTTTGTGGGTTAAGAGGCAAAATTGAAGGTATTGTGTGGACAGTCATATACAAGATAGAAAAAGAATTTTCAAGTATTGTATTGACAAAAGAGAAAATATAAAAAAATGTAGTACAGTTTTTTTGTAATATCAGGCTAATAAAAAGAATGGAATTCATTTGGCAAGGGGATAGATTAAGAAAAGCAATGTAATTGGGATTCAAAGTTAGTGTCCCCTATTATCAAACCAATTACAAATGTTCACTGGTAAAGCTAATTCTCTCCAGGGCTGTATAAAAAACCACACGGTGGTCTGGATTTGGGTCACAGGCATCTAAACTCTAGCTGATCTAGAGCACATTAGTATCTGGCTATAGTTTTTCACTGCCTTTAAGCTATGCACAACTCTGTGTACTATAGATAGGTGATAACAATGCAAAATAACTGTTGTCCATGGACTTGCATAAAATTATGTCCAGTACAGGTTCAAAGGACTTTCCTTACCCACCATAGACAAAGCCAGTTATACCTCTGTGTGCCCGTTCCTATCAACAATCCTGACCTATAAATGTGTGTTCTTTGGGCTCTCCCCCAAACTGGTTCTAACACCTTACTTACTAATGAGTTAAATAAAATCTTTGATACAGGTTCATTTTTTTTCTCTGTGAGTCATAATGATACCTGTTTTGGAAAATTATTGCTTAACAGGAAAAAAATAGTAACTTTTCAGTGGAAAAGCATTACAGACATAGGCTTTACCAAGTGATCAGAGTCAACACCAAATTATGAGACTAATTAACAGAGATGTCTCTTGGCAGCATCAGTGATATCTTACCTGCCCATTGCTGCCTAAAACGCGTAACTCGATTCTCAACATGAGGAAGTATTAGAAAAATCCAAATTGAGGTCCATCTAAAAATTAACCATCTTGTACTCTTAGTGGGACATTTGGTAAAATATGAACAAGGTCTACAGTAAGTGTTTTATCATGTTAATTTTCTGATTTGATAATTATACAAAAGTAATTTTTAAAAAAATTTTTTTAGAGAGAGCAGGAGGGAGGGAGAACAGAGAGGGAGAAAAACACTGATCAGTTGCCTCTTGCCTGCCCCCAACCAGGGACGTGGCCTGCAACTCAGGTATGTGTCCTGACTGGGAATCGAAACAGTGACATTTCAGTCTGTGGGGTGATGTCCAACCCATTAGGCCACACCAGCCAGGGCTACACTAAAGTAACGTGATGCACCATGTCTGTAGCTTACTCTCAAACGTTTCTGAGGAAAAAATTAAATCTAAAGACAAAGAGAATAATATGTAGACGTGGTAAAATATTAATATATGGAGAACCTGAGTGAAGGGTACAGACATTTTCTCGTACCCTTTTTTAACTTTTCTGTGAGCATAACATTATTTCAAAAGAAAGATTTTTAAAAGGAGTATATTACACATAAACCTAACACTGTCTTACTTATCACTGGACTAGTTTGTCTGGGGCACTGACCTTGTTCATCTTAGACTGTCAGCTAAAAAAAATGACAGCAGCCAACAAAACAGTAGCTGTTTGGTGTGAATGTATCAAAACTATACCTATTTTTTTTGTGAGAATGGCAAAAAAGATATTTTTTGGTGTGTCACAGAATTTATTCATTACTTTGTATGTGCCATGATATGAAAAAGGTTGAAAACAGCTGCCTCAAGGTACAAAGGCTTCTGCTTTGTCTGACAGCCTCCTCTCAGTTAGCGCACTCATCATCCTCTGGCCACGGCTCTGCGAAGAGCCCAGCCTCCACGCCACCCCTACACCTCTGGCCCACTCACCTCCACCCCACTCTCTACTTTCTCCTGTGTGTTACCAGCAGAGTCTGCATACAGACCAACACTCAAGGCCTCTGCAATTGTCATCAAGTATAAGAATCACCTGCAAACTGCACTCACATTTCTCTAGCAGCCCCAACGAAAATAAAGATATGAAAATGTGCAAGCTGCCCCAATTCGGTTCACAGCACAGGGATCAGTAGCAGATCTTGAGGAAATGTTAAGATAAAAAATTATATTCAGTAATTCTCTCATAAAAATTACCTTGAGGAATGGAATCACAAAAGGACGAAGAGGAAAGTTTGTAGCTTCTTGGAGCTTGCAATGGAATTCTTCAATTGTTACTGTTGAGTTCTGAAAAGAAAAATAACCTTGTTCAACCTCTGAAACTAGACACTGTCCTTCTTACATAAATCCCTTTTAAATCATAAAGAAAAGGTTAATTCCAAGAGCACTACTGTGAACTCAGATCCTTCTCAAAGGTTAACCAAATTGCTTCCTTTATAAAAGAAATTCGGCCTCCTTGATTTTTTTTCTACTACCCCAAATCTAAATTCCCCTCTATGTTCAGCAGACTGGGTTGCAGAATAGGGCACAGCCTTCTTCACCACTCTTGACAACAGGTACTCAGGCCCCTTGTACTGCAGGATTCATGGCAAGTCACCTCAGGCACAGGAAACCAAGCTTGTAATTCTTCCAGTTGAACAGATCCTGATCAGTCTAAAATGTCAACTTAAAGACTCAAGCCAGAGCTGCATTATTTTTTTTTAAGATTTATTTATTCTTAGAGAGAAGGGAAGGGAGGGATAAACAGAGGGAGAGAAACATCAAAGTATGGTTGCCTCTCATGTACCTCCTACTGAGAACCTAGCCCACAATCCAGGCATGTGCCCTGACTGGGAATCAAACCAGAGACCCTTTGGTTCATAGCCTGACTCGCAATCCCCTTAGCCACACCAGCTAGGACATGAGCTGCATTTCTTTAGAAGTTCTTTTCTTCATAGTTTCTGCCTACATCCTAGCACTAGTTCCCCAAATCTTCTAAATTCAAAGTTAAAAACAAACAAATCAACAAACCCACCCAAAAGGGAACTTCTGCCTTGAACGGTTGTTTGCAAAGAAGAGCATCTCCAAACAGGTGGACTTCCACTGGTAGATTTTAGTATTCTCAGGGAAGTTATTAGCATTTCCTCTGTCCCCCCCACCCACCCAAAGTCTGACTTAAAACTAGAATTCTCAGTTCCTCTGCTAAAGGGAATGTACAAATAAAGATACTGTATCTTCTCCAAGTACACAAAATACTTTTATTTCAATTCCCCCAAACACAGTACAACTACAAAAGAAGTTTAAAAAAAAAACAACAACAAACAAAAAACTTGGCATTAATCTGAATTCTTGATCCCCCTGAGAACAATCATCACTTCTGGGATTTTTACAAAATCTTCAAGTGTTCAAAAATGTAACATGTACCATACAAATTCTTCACCAGTACCATATTGCTTCTTAACAATAAGAAATGGCAAACACATAGGTCCACCAACAAAAACCTGCATTAAAAATTATAATACAGTCATGACTCAGAATTCATATGAATTAATGAGGAAAGGTGCCTATAAAATACTTTAAATGAAAACTCAAAAACAGAACAGTCTATTTTACAAAAATCTATTTAATAAAACTCATACATACAAACATAGTATTTTAACTATCTGGAAGGACAATTATAACAGTAGTTATTTCTGGGTGTGAAATTATGTTGGATATTCCAAATATATCAATATTCAGTAAAAATAAAATTATTTTCCTTAAAGGAAAAAGAATGTATCAGATTCAACCATGTTAAATAAAAATATTTGAATAGTTTAGCTCATTTCATACTAAAAATTCCTTTAAACTTTAAGTACCTGTTTTAAGTACATGACACTTGTATAATGTAACCAAAGGTACCAATATTCAGGAAAAAAAATTAAGTGTAAGAGAATGATATTCTTCCCCTACTATAGTAAGTTCAAATAGGTCTTGAAAGATAAAAGCAAGTAAATGTATGGAAAGACTGTATGAATGACTAAGTTTTCGTGGATAGACAAACGATGAAAAGAATAACCTGTATGGCACAGAGAGAGTGACTTAGGCCAGTGAAACTGACTCAGGGCTATTGGTAGTAAAGATGCAAGGCAATCCTTTCTATCTGAGATTGATGATAACCGACTGTTCTTTTATCCTTTCTTCTCATTCAATTAATTAATAAATAAAAGCATGATTCTTTTTTCCCTAAGAACTCACAGTCTAGTGCAGTGATTTTCAACCTTTTTTATCTTATGGCACACATAAACTATTGACTAAAATTCTGAGGTGTACACACACACTGTCTTTTTTGCCAATCTAACAACAACAACAACAACAACAACAACAACAAGCATTATTTTGATTCAGTCACACTGGATGGCTATTGCTGTGTTGGCTGCTGTCATTTTTTTTGTTTGTTTTTAAGAAAGAGGGGAATGCAGGGAGAAACAGGGAGAGAAACATGGATTGGTTGCTTCCCATACCATACATGCCCCAATGGGGGATCGAATCAACAGCCTTTCTTATGGGACTTCGCTCAAACTGAACCATACTGGGCAAACTGAACCATACTGGACAGCTGCTGTCATTTTTTAATTTGACAGTTTAAGGGAAAAGAGGTCAGTGCCCCTGGCTAAATAGGTATTGCATGTTTTAAGAATTCTTGTGGCACACTGTGGTCTAGTGGGAAAACAGATAAACAAGCTCTTCATTGTAATGCGATCAAGGTATACATGTGCAGGATACTACCGGTACACAGAGAAGACATGTTTCAATCAGACTTCGCAGGATAAGGGAGGATTACAGAAATGTCACCTGAAGAAGTGAAGACACAGCCTTGGGAAAAATGCTTTTGACAGACAGGAGAATGTAAAAAGGCACATTTGTCAGAGGATCTGGTCTCTGGATCGCAAAGGCAACACCTATAGTGGTCTTAGAAGACAATGGGTGTAGACAGGTGATCAAATAAAACTTATTCTTTTAAAATTGAGATAATAATCACAGCAAGTTGTGAAAATAGAACAGATAGGTTTCCGTGCATCCTCCACCCAGATTCCCCTAATGGTTACATTTCATACACCGAAAGTATAATATCAAAACTAGGAAACTAATGTTGGTAAAACGTGTGTTTAGTTCTATATCATTTTATTGTATTCATGTAAACCACTGCTGCAATCAAAATACAAAAATGTAGAAATTTTATCTACCTTTATCCTCCTGGGTTTATAATATAATTGTCTTAAATATTTCCCTTATATATACTGACAACAATATTAGACAGTTCTATAATTTTTACTTTAACCACAATACATAATTTAGAAAACTCAAGAGGAGAAGGAAAGTCTATTGTATTTACTTTTCCACTTTTCTTTCATCCATCCTGATATTTCAAGATTCTTTCTTTACAGCAGGGGTGGTGCCTCGCCAGGCTGAGATGAGGGCTCCGGCATCCTCCGATGGAGCCCTTTGATGTGTGATCTTTACCCTGCCAGACACGTGGCTGTCTGCCTGACAAATGACATGGAGACCAAGTGATCTGGGTAGAGGGTTCCTTTTGTACCAAATGGCGAATCTGTAACAAATTGTCTGATTGGCACACATTTTTTTTTTTTTTTAAAGATTTGGATATGGCAGTAGAGTGGGTAAGACAGCAGGATTTGATATTTAGATCTCAGTTCAAATCCTGCCTGGATCCCTGGCTAGCAGGGTGGTCCTGAGGGAAACATTCACTTTTTTAAAAAAATTATATTTTATCAATTATGCTGTTACAGTTGTCCCAATTTTTTCCTGTTTTCCTCCTCCACCAGCACCCCCAACTCCCTCAGGCAATCCCCCTACCATTGGATCAATGGAAGAATGAATAAGCAAAATGTGGCATATACATATAATAGAATATCATTCAGCCATAAAACAGAAAATTCTGACACATGCTACAACATAGACAAACCTTAAGGATATTATGCAAAATGAAATTATAAGCCACCCAGGGGTACTCTCCCTTTTGGGGGCACAAGCCCATGCCTGAGCCTTTCCCTTACTCTCTCCTGAGCTCCAAGGGCCCTTCTTTTCCTTCTGTATCTTGTTTCCTGAGCCCATGCAGCCCAGATGGCTCACTTCTATTGCCTCTGTTACTTTCTAAATAAACTTTTGTCTTATAATAAGAGAGAGAGAGAGAGAGAGAGAGAGAGAGAGAGAGAGAGAGAGGGAGGGAGAGAGAGAGGGCGTGCGCACTCGGGGGCAGGCAGCCATAACAAGACAAATACTGTATGATTCCACTAACATGAGATACCCAGATTAGTCAAGTAGAATGGTGGTTGACAGGAGCTGGGGGGTAGGAAGGAATGGGGATTTATTGTTTAATAGCACAGTTTCAGTTTTACAAGATAAAAGAGCTCTGGCTCTGGCCAGATAGCTTAGTTGGTTAGAGCTTCATCTCAATACACCAAGGTTGTGGGTTTGATCCCTGTCAGGGCACACACAGGACTGAACCAATGATGCATCAATAAATGGAAAAACAAGTAAGCATCCCTCTGTCTCTGAAATCAGTTTTCTAAAAAAGATTTCTGGAGGTAGAATAGTAGTGATAGTTATACAACAATGAATATATTAGATATCATTGAATTATACACTTTAAAATGGTTGAGATAGTAAATTTTGTGTATTTTACCACCTCCTAATGATACCAACATTTTTTTAAATTTAAAAAAAAAAAAAAAAAAGAAGAAGAAGAAGAAGAAGGTTAACCCAAGCATTGCTATTTAAAAGAGACAACTGGCACCCTGGCTGGTGTGGTTCAGTTGGTTGGAGCATGGTCCCATTGACAGTACGGTCGTGGGTTCAATTCTCTGCCGGGGCACATGCCTAGGAGGGGGTTTTGGTCCCAGCAGGGGCACGCATGGTCAGAAAACGTGTGAGGCAACCAATCAATGCTTCTCTCCCACATCGACGCATCTTTCCCTCCCCCTTTCCCTCTCTCTAAAGTCAGTGACCATGTCCTTGGGAGAGAATAAAGAAATAAAAGAAGAAAGAAATAAATAAAAGAGACAACTGGCTACATCTACATATACTTTCATGGCTAAAAAAAGATGCATGGTTTAAATTTGGGGCGGGGGCGCGCAAATGAGGCCTCTTATTTTTTTCTTTTACTATTGAAATTATCTTTAGGTATAGACTCTACTTATGCTTTATACTGAACACTGGTCTCTTTCTGGGAGTCTGCAATTTGCTAAGTACTGGGCAGAGAGTACCTATGTGTCCAGACCACGGTAAAAACTTTGGGCACTGAGTCCCCAATACGCTGCCCTGGGCAGAAACACTGCACACGCACTTCTACATTTTCACTGCTGGTGTAAGAGTGAGCTCTGTGTGACCAAGCATAGGAAATCTGTACATGGATTCCTACAGATTCCAACTGTGTCTCTCTCCTTTATGATCCAATTGTGTATCCTTATTATCCCTCTGCAACAAATCTTAGTTGTGAGCATGACGATGGGCCAGGTGCTTGGAATTCTTCTGGTGAATCTCAGAACATGAGGTTATAAAAAGTATAAATTGTGGTATATCCTACAATAAAACATAGCAATGAAAATGAACAATTTACAGTTATATGAAACAACAGAGGTTGAATGTCAAATAATTAAACCACCACTTACTGCATTTTGCCTTGCACAAAAGTTGTTTTTTCCACACTACATTAAGACTGATTTAAGGTAGCAGTTCTTAACTTTTTAGTCTCAGAATCCTTCTAATGTATTTGGGTTGCCCTCTATCAACCACTAACCATATCAGAAATTAAAACTGAGAATCTGAAAAATATTAATCCATTACAAAATAACTATACTTTTACCAAAAAATATAGTGAGAAGAATGGCACTGTTGTTAGTTTTGCAAATCTCTTTCATATCTAACTTAATAAGATACAGCTGTGTTCACCAAGATGCTTCTGCATCTAATCTGTTGCAACATTCTATATCACGCAGCCTCTAGAAAATTCCATCATATACTCACGAGAGTAAGAGTTAAAAGGCAAGTAACATCTTAGTATGATTATGAAAATAATTTTTACCTCCTGGACTTTCTAATAGTCTGAGGGAATCCCAGGGGTCCCTGATTACACTCTGAGAACTGCAACATGAAAGAAAGTTTAGCACTGTGATTCATCTTTACCACATATAGAGGCTAACATGCAGGAGCACGGGGTGGTTTTACTGGAGGTAAATCTTAAAGAATTCAGTATGTAGACATCGGGAACTGGCAGAACTCCCCTTATATAAACTGCGAGTCAAACCCTACCCTGCCTGCTGTCCCTGTCAGAAAGTCACTCCCTTATACCACGAATTCACCATACTCTGCACAGTACCTTAAAAACTCTAAAGAAACTATTTGCATGATGAGTTGAAGAACATAATCCATTTGATACTATTTATTCAGACCATGAAATTTACAATTTCACAAATTATTCTTCTGAAAATTAAAGTTGCTACTTTTCCTTTCTCTCTGGCTTGGAAACAATGTACTAGACACTGAATATATTAAACAAAGTCTGGAATTAATTTGGTTGAACCTTAGTGACCTGATGAAACTCACTTTTAAGACATATTCAAAGCTGCTTAATGGCCCTGACAAGTGTGGCTCAGTTGGTTGGGCGCTGTCCCACAAAACCAAAGGTCACCAGTTCAATTCCCGGTCACGATACATGCCTAGGTTGTGGGGACGTGTGGGGGAGGTAACCAATCAATGTTTCTCTCCATCTCTTTTTCCTGCCCTTCCCATCTCTCTAAAAATAAATAAATAAAACAAGTTTTTTTTAAAAAATAAAGCTGCTTAATGGGATTAAATCAACAGCATAGGAAATAATTAGGTAAACATTATAGATTTGTTTCTTTCATAAATACTTTTATACACAATTGAAATTCACAAATCAACAGTTTTACACAAATTATACTAGTCTGTTTATTTATTAACAAATTAATTAATTCATTAATCTAGTCTGTAGATTTTGCCACATTGCTACAGGTATGGGAATGAGAAGAAATATGTACAACTTCTCTGCTGGCTTTGGTTCTGAGCCATATACTCAGTTAACCACTGACAGTGACGCTATACTTACCACCAGCGCTAGAACAAGAGTCCGCACTTTCTCCCCAATCTCAGGTGAGATGTCATTGCCAAACTGTTGCAGAGTGGTGAGGAAGCGTTTTAACTTGCTGAGCTGCCGAGCACCACAAGTAGCTGGCAATTGTTGATTTGTTAGTGCAGATGACGTGGAAGAGGCAGGACCATTGCTGAATCGCTGTGGTGGTGATGGGGCACCATTCAGGGTAGGAGGAGAATGGTTGGTTCCATTGCTTACTGAAGAAAGCCAAAAAGAAAGGCTCAGTTCTAAGTATAAAATACAAGAATCTTCAATTCATTCTTATTGTCTGCATTATCCTTCATTTATTCACTTCAATTTTGTAAAGCACATGTTAAAAGAGTTATAAAGACACTGTTTCTGCCCAACAAGATTGTTATATAAGTGAAACCGACTACCAGGTCAAAAATAACAACAGAGTAACACAGAAGTGTTAAAACAGAAGAGCAGAGTGCTAGTAGAGCACAGAGAAGGGACATATAACTCTACAGGTACCATGGGCAGGTATAGGTAGTTTTAAGACTTCCTGTAACAGGTACTGCATGAGATGAGTTTGGGAGAACATATATTTCCAATGAATGGACACTCATGCCCACTTTTTATGTCATATCTTTCCAATCTTAGGGTCTCATGGAAGCTAATGCAGTCAATTAGGATGTAGGATGTGAACAAGACACACAGAAAACAAAGAATTGTGTTACTGTGAAAAATGTTTTTTCTAGGTTATACATTTAATGACCTAGTCCTGCAGTAAGGAATATATCTCTTTGACCACTCAGTATATTCATGTCCCTCAGAGTCATATTATCTCTGCCTTGACAGTGCTAGATTAATACTGCCAGATTCTTGGTCACTCAATAAAGCATTTTTCTAGACACCACACAGGACACTCCAATTCTGTATTTCTGCACAAATTATGATCCATGTGATTAGTTCCAGTTTTTCTCTTTTCCTATTGTCCTTAGTAATTTTTTGCTAGTTTTAATTTGTAACATAGTCCTAGAACTATACTCTTCATAGCATTAGGAAAAAATTTCCCTTTTCACTGAACAGTGTAATAAAATTACCCAATGCCTAAGAGTCATTAGATTTTTGCTTACTCATACTTTTCTAAGAAGCTAACCTATGTCTAAAAACAAGAAAAATTTTAAGTAAAAACTTAAGCCAAATTTAAAGAAACCAATCATTTAATCTTTACCTAACTTAGAAAACTGTCATTTACTTATATTTTGCTTAATGCCAACTTGTTCATCATGAAAAACCTTCCACTTCCCTTCTTGCTCCAAGCCAGTCACAGTTGCCTGACCATCACTATCCCCACTTCCTGACTGACCTTTACTCAAATTTGATCTGTAAGCTCTGCTTCATCCTGTACAGAAAACACCTGCATTGAGAAGATTCCTTGAGATCTGTGGATCCACGTTACAGTAAACCCTAGGTAATTTAGTAATTCTTCTCTGTGCTATACATGTTTCCATTATGTTACTTACCAAATTATACTTATCTGCATTATCTTAATAGAGTTTACACTTTTTGATGAACTCTTATACATCTGAGTATACTAAAATTAGCTAAGCTTTGTAAATTGTATATACGGTATATACACGAGCTTTGTTCAAAAGCTAGCAATGTTAAGTGTTCAGAAAAAATGCTGCTGAATATGACTCAGTGCTTAAAAGATTGACAGACTGAGGGGAAAAAAGGGGTAATTTCTCTTCTGTGTCTTCCACTGAAAAAGATCACCAGAGCTACTGGAAAAAAAGCTTAATCACTCAACCTTAGCAATCCAGAAAATTAGTTGCAGTGGCCTGCCATTTCTTTGTGTTCACAGAAAGGTCAATTGCCATTGGAGAGTGGCCCTTTTTTTAAGTAGCCCATTAAAATAATACATTATTGTGCTTTTAGCCACCCTGATGCCCAGACAAGCTTTTTTGCAGCCTCTTTACTAAAAGTGTATGATTATAATTTCTGAAATAAAGCACATCCACCCCCAAGTAGTCAAATACAGAGGTAAAAAGAGCTAGATTTATACATACATATCCCAGTCATCTGTATCTTGAAATCGGAATGACAGACTGGGTTAAATCTGTTTCATTTCTAGATGGTACTTATATCTAAGGATGTATCACTTTGAGACAGAAAATATATTTAGGAAAAAGGATATGAAAATGCATTTCTTTCACTCTCACTCAGACTGCTGCAGTTACCATTCACTCAATTTCAATGTTTTGGAAAATAAAAATTAAATCTTTTTAAAAGCCGTACCTCTTAGATTCTCTTCTCTTTAAAAAAACTCAGAAAAAAAAATGTTTGAGCAAAAGTAGTGTGCAAGCTTGTGCAATGGCATTTATTTATTTATTTATTTATTTTTAAAGATTTTATTTATTCATTTAGAGAAAGTGGAAGGGAGGGAGAAAGAGAGGGCGAGAAACATCAATATGTGGTTGCCTTTCACATGGCCCCACACTGGGGACCTGGCCTGCAACCCAGGCATATGCCCTGACTGAGAATCAAACTGGTGACCCTTTGATTTGCAGCCCGAGTGCAATCCACTGAGCTACATCAGCCAGGGCTGTGCAATGGCATTTAAATAAGGAAGTGCATGCAGTATCTAGGACAGTGCTCTGACATGCTATTTGGGTACTCCACAAATAGCAATTTTCTTCTGCTTTACCAGGTAAAATAACTGTAAGGATCAATGCGAACTAGAGGTAGCATGCATGGAAAGGCAGAACTCAAAAGCTAGACTTGTGTATGCATGCATGTTTGTATGTGTCTTTAGATTTTTAGATTTTAAATTAAGGGGTTTTATTGGTTTTGTTCTTTCAGTATGGGTATAGGATTGAAATTGTTGAGTTTCAATCAATTGAGGGTTTGTGGAAATTCAGCTTTAGTAGATACTGCCAAAACAATTTTCTCATTCTTAATCTATGAGTGGTCAGGTTGCTCCACACATACTCACCAAAACTTGATACTCTTTTTTCACTTTGAACATTCTTGTGGGTGTATGTGGTATTGTGCTGGGTTTTAGTTTGCATTTCCTTGATGACTAGTAAAGTTGAACGCCTTAGATTTGTTGGCTAATATAATTCTTATGAACTGAATTGTGTCCCCCCACCAAATTCCTATGTTGAAGTTCTAACCTCTCAGTACCTCAGAATGTGACTATATTTGGAGATAGGACCTGTGAAGGTTAAATGAGGTCATATGGGTAGGCCCCTAATCCATTATGACTGTTGTCCTTATAAGAAGAGAAGGGACAACATAAATGCATGGGCACGGAGGAAAGGGCATGGAAGGATATAGCAAGAAGGTGGCTTTTGCAAGCCAAGAATAAAGGCCTCAGAAAAAATATCAAACTTGTTGACACCTTGATCTTGGACTTCTATCCTCTAGACCATGGCATTAGTAAAATAACGCAATAATTATTTTCCTTTTTGTAAGGAGACTTATCATGACAGTCCTGGAAAACTTTTGGATGTAATTTGGTAATTTTATGAAACTTACTTTAATTCCTATCAACCAATATGATAATTTTAATTCACTATTTCAGAGTCAAAGAAATTGAAATAGCTACTTATCAGACAAAGTATGAAAAAAATATTGGGACCACTAAATTTCCAAGTGCCCAAATTAGCTAAGACCTATTCTCAGAGGGCAAAAGCAATTTATAAAATAACCAGATATACATTTCTGATATATGTATCCTTTTATCGACATTTTGAAAATCTTGTGAATAGTATATGCAGAAGGCTTAATGGCAGTCAGTTAGTTAGATACAAATGTCACTCTGAACCATAAAACCCAAGTAATTAAGAGGTCTCACATGCTGTAGGAGTAAATGACACTGGCCTGGGTCCTCCAGAATTTATTGGTGGAAGGGGTGGCATGGTGGGAGGTGAGGATCTTGACTGTATCTTCACTTCCACAGGCGATCCAGGCATTGCTGGCACCCTTTTCTCAGGACCAACTGTAGAGAATAAAAGAAATGGAGGTCAGTTTTCTATAAAGTTATAAAATAGTGACAATAATTTGAAATACTGATATATTTTCCTAGAGGATTAAGAAGAAAATGCTTAGCCTTGACTGGCGTAGCTCAGTGGATTGAGCCTGGGCTGCGAACCAAAGTGTTGCAGGTTTGATTCCCCGTCAGGGTACATGCCTGGGTTGCAGGCCATGACTCCCAGCAACCGCACATTGATGTTTCTCTCTCTCTCTCTTTCTCCTTCCCTTCCCTCTCTAAAAATAAATAAATAAAATCTTAAAAAAGAAGAAGAAGAAGAAAAAGAAGAAAATGCTTAGTTTAATAGGCTGAATAGTGGTCCCCAGAAATATATCTACTTCTTACTCCCTTCAACTATAAATGTTTCCTTATTTGGAGAAAGGGTCTCTGAAACTGTAGTTAAGGATCTTGAGAGCAGATCTTCCTAGATTATCTGGTGGGCTTTAAACCCAATATGAATGAAACCCCAATAACGAGAGCTAAAGACACATACATAAAAGAAAGACTACGTGAAGAGAGTCACGCGGAGAGGAAGCAGTGTGACGATGGAGGCAGAGACTGAAATGGTGCATCTACAAGCTAAGGAATGCTAATGACCGTGAGCAACATGGGAAGCTAGGCAGAAAGGTATGGAATAGATGCTTCCTCTGAGGCCCCATGAAGGAATCAACCCTGATGATACCTTGATTTTGGACTCCTGGCCCCCTGAACTGTGTGAGAAGATTGTTGTTTTAAGCTACCCAGTCTGTGGAACTTTGTTACAGCAATCCTAGAAAACGAAAATAAGGCAGCAAGGCCAAAGATTCACGAAACCAGAAAGTTAATGGTGAAGATAGTGGCTGAGAAAGAAAGAAAACAGGTTATAAACTCTGGTTATCTCAACTGCATTCTTTCTGAATTTCTCTTTATAAATGAATCAAATCAGTAGAGGGGAAAAGGCTAATGTGGGGAATATTTAGACAAGTAGGTGTCAACTGCATGGCCTAGAAACAAATATCATTAGTTGTATATAAATTGCTATAAATGATGAAGTACTAAAATTTTATACATATCAACTACTCTAGGTAGGAAAAAAGAGGTGGGTTCAACATCTTTGACATCAGGCATATAAAAGTCACTTATAACATTTATCCAACAAGATAAAAAGTGCAGATGATTCTAAAGGAAGCACAGGCTATTTAATCCATGGGGATAATTCATAAGTAGCTATTTGATAACACTAGACAGCAACAAATTCCAGAAAGATAAATTTGAAAGATTAAACTTACTGATGTTAGAATTAAGTCTGAGCTAATACAGATAAGATGTGATACCGAGGAGTAATATTCTAATATCTTCAAAGTTATTTTTCCACATTAAACTTATTTAAACTTGGTTAACACTAGGGCCAGGGCTACCTTTAAATTGAGTTATTTTCCTCTCAATGATTCCAAGCTTTTCACTTCAGTGCCATGTACTTACTCTCCGACAAGTTCAACGTAACACCAAAGGTTCAAACGAGAAAGTTAACTCAAAGATCTCTCCGTGGGACCACAGTTGTAAACACAACACACACAAGAGCGCCCATCACAGGGCAGCAGGCACATCTTCACACGCCCATGGGCCCAGTCTAATGAGGAAAATATGCTCAAATACTATTTTTATGGCTTCCATTTGCCACATTTTTGGGGAAGAAATATAATGACTATAGAAAGTCAATCAAAGAATTGATGCCCCTAAATTGCAAATTCCCTGACAAAAATGTGCAGCTCTCCAAGAGCCATGTGGGCAACACTCTGCCAGCCTTCCCCGTCTCTGTGTCCAGGACATTTTCTTTGTGAAATCGATGACTGTCCTCTTTGATTGGTGGACTAATGAGCTGTTGCGTTTGCCTTTTTCTTCTTGACAGTATTTTCTCAATGCCCTTCAGAGAACAGTTGACACGTTTCCAGCACTTCCATCTGGGGACCAGCTTTCTGGAGGACGGGGGCGTGGAGAAGGGAAGGAAGGAGCTGACAGTTGTCTCACACTGTTATGTGTTGTGCATCGTGTGCAACAACCTAGAGGGAGCCTTTCTTCAGACCACCTGCCTTTACAACAAGGGCGCCAAAGGCCTGAGGAGGGCTTAGCAGTGAGATGTGTTTTCACATTTGGTACTTGGCAGAATGAAAAACTCTGAGCAGCCCAACTGCAGAACACTGAATATTATACCAAGAAAAAGTTTAGATACAGGGAAAAACTTAGCCCCCAGACTCCTGTTTACAAATTAAAACTAGCCATCTCTCGGTCAGGTCACTACTCACACACCTGCAACACTAGTGTTATTCCTTATGTTTCAAGCAGTAAACATTGTCTAGTAGAAAAAGCATGAGTATGGAGACTGTGAGATTTGGTGTGAATTCTCATTCTGTTACTAAAGGCCTACATAAATTTTATCAAATTGTTTCATCTTTCTGGGTCTCATTAAAAAAATATTTATTATTTTGAGAGAGAGGGGAAGGGAAGGAGAGGGAGAGGAAGAGAGAGAGAAACATTGATTTGTTGTCCACTTATCACACATTCATCGGCTGATTCTTGTATGTGCCCTGTCAGGGCGATCTAACCTGCAACCTTGGCATTTGGAGACAATGCTCTAACCAAATATGGGACTCATATTTAACACACGTAAAATAAGAGATAATAAGACCTACCTGGAAGGAAAGATTTAAAGATTAGAGATAATGCTTAGACTAGTGCTAGGTATAAAGAAGGTACTTAATACACAATAACAATTAGACAACACAAAGACCAGTTTTAAGTGCTGATTTTACCACTTAACTGGCCATGTGACCATGCCCAAGTTAATATTAATATTTGTTTCTCACATAAAACAAGTATACTATCAATGATTAGTCCATGTAATGTCACAGATGTTACATGGAATGATGGAAAAATGAACTGCTGCAAAAGTACCAAATATAATATAAGATGGTATTGTTGTTGGAGGCTGGGTGAAATGAACGCACAATTGGTGTGAGACATCTATCCAGATGGTTTATAACTTGACAAATTCAGTAGCTGCTAGGATGGTGGATAAGGGGTGTAACTCCAAAGTAGGTATTTTAACCCTTTCCTTGGTGGCTATGACATGCCTTTATGCCATCACTGTTAGAGTGAATTCATTTATAAAACTGATGTTCGTGTTTTATATTCTAGCTGTATCCTGTGAAAGAACCAACCATATCTGGAGCTCTTTTTAATTCCAGAGAACCTTAGATAAAATTCAAGAAGAAGAAATTCCTTTATCTAATGTGTGACTTGAGCCCATAAACAGTATTGCTTGGACTAAAGAGACTTAAAATACTGAGTCCTAGAAAATCAAAGTAACTCTTAGCTTTGTCATGAAAGTTCAACTCAATTCTAGACATTGATTTTTAAGAATCAAAGTAACTGATAATTTCATCAATCTATGGGTTTGTGCTTTGGTTATTTTGAATATTTGGACATATATGGATTAAAAAATAAAACGTGAACATTGACCACATACATTTACAAAGTCACTAATGTTTCAGCATCTAACCATGTAAAGCAAAACAACGTGAGCTAAAGAAGAGGAGTGAACATGGAGAAACAGGTCTGAATAATGACTTTACTTCTCATTGTGCAACATGCTAAGGATGTCATGAAAACAGAACACTGTGAAAAGAGAGAACAAATGCTGCCCAGATATAAATGTGAAGAATCAAACATAAAACTAAAGAGCAGAACTATTCTGTAGCTCTAAGAGAAAGTAATGATGAATAGAAAGACATCCCAGACAAGTGCTCCCTGAGAAGAGTCCTATATGATAAAGTGCCCACAAATGGGAGCATTTTCAAATCATTATAATAAACTGCTTTTCCTTTAAAGTTTTAAAAAATTACCTCGATGATGACAAAGGAATAAAAAGAGGTATAAATTTGAGAATAAAAATGCAATTATCTGTGGGAAATCAGATTTAAAAAATCTACTTGAATCAGGTTAAGAATCTATTTGAATTAATGGTTTTATTTGGCTGTGGGACACACATGCTGAGTTCTGGGTAGAAGATATGGTCAAGTGCTCCTGATTATCATCACTGAGAAAAGAATGAGCTGAATATAGAACTTTCGGATGCACAGTGCAGGAATCCTGGTCATTCCAAACAGGCTGACCAAGGAAAACCACATGTTTAAAAACAAAACAAAACAAAACAAAAAAACCCCAACAAATCAGACTCCTAACTAAAAAAACAACCAGGGAGTTTTAAACAGAATTATCTTTGGAGGCAGGGGACAAAGATAATCAATAAGACAGATGAATAAAGATAATAAATTCAAGACAGATGAATTATTTATTTATTAAAAAAGATTTTATTTATTTTTAGAGAGGGAAGGTAGGGAGAAAGAGAGAGAGAAAAACATCAATGTGCAGTTGCTGGGGGTCATGGCCTGCAACCCAGGCATGTACCCTGACTGGGAATCGAACCTGCGACATTTTGGTTCGCAGCCCGGGCTCAATCCACTGAGCTACGCCAGCCAGGGCTACAGATGAATTTTTAAAAAAAATGTACAAGCATACATTTTTATGGCTCAAACATCAATATAATAAGAAATATTCCTTGCCTGTGTCCCTACATACCCCATCCCATAGGAAACCATTTTAATTGGTTTCTTGTGCGTCCTTCCATTCTTTCTCTGCACAAATGAGCAAACGCAAATATAAATTCTTATCTCATCCCATTTTATACAAGGGTAGCATAATTACATTTAACTGACTGGTCCCAATAATGGCCCCTCTATAGCAATGCCTTTTGCAATGCATCAGGAAGTGAGGTCTATTTCCTTATCCTCTAAATCTGGTCAGGCCTTTCTGACTAGCTTTGGCCAATGTAATGTGATGGAAGTGACATTGTCAGTTCTGAGCCTCTCTTGGAACCCTGACCTGCTATTAAACCAAACCCAGACTAGTCTGCTGGATGACGAGGCCAC